GACGGGACTGCTCTTTCGGTAGAGCTGTACTCTCCTCCGTCCTACAATGAGGACACCTTCCCTCCTCCTTTGATGGTAAGCTTGTAAATCTACCCATATGTGTGATGCACAGAGGCCACGACGAAGAAAAGCAGGTTGCTTACCTGTAACTGATGTTCTTCGAGTGGCCATCTGTGCAGTCACACCACCCACCCACCAGCCCCACTTGGTGTCGGTGAGTGGACTCATTCATCGGTACCGAAAGTTTCCCATTTTTTCTTGGTACCGATCCCTTTTTCCTATCTCATACTGAGAATTTTTCCACAAGGGGGTGCACGTTCGGTCGTCAAAGACTGAACAAATGGCGGACGCTCCGCTCTTTATAGCCCATGGGGGAGGGGAGCGGAGCTTCCCTCCAAAAACCGTTAGCTTTCAATCTTCCGGCCAAAGGCACTGCGCAGGTGCAGAACCCATATGTGTGACTGCACAGATGGCCACTCGAAGAACATCAGTTACAGGTAAGCAACCTGCTTTTTCCAGACTGTTTTCAAGCGCAGTGCCACATAGAGTGCACTAGTTTTAACTACAATTGCACTCTGGGCCACTGCTGAGATCTGGGCATCCAGTTTTAGGATTGAATCCAGTACACCCAAGTTGCAAACCTGAGTTTTCAGAGGTAGTGTAACTTCATCCAGCACAGCATGGGGAACAGAACAGAACCCTTAGGAACTCCACTGATCAGTGACCAGGGAGTTGAAGAGGAGCGTGTCTCCCCTCCACCCCATCACCACCTTCTGGGTCTACCCTCTAGGAAAGAATGGGACCACTGTAAAACAATCCCTTCAATTCCCAACCCAGCAAGGCAGCTGAGAAGGAAAAGTGGCATTCAAGATTTTTTCTGTCACCCTTTTCTCGCCAGTCTTTAGCAACTATGAATGTTTTTTTCATATGTCATCCATCTAGGCTTATTCTTTCTTGTTACAGGAGTTGTCTTTTTGCATTCTTTTCTTATGTCTCTGGTTTCAGTGCACAGTTCTTCTGTCTTGTTTGCACTTTAAATTCCTCAGGGATATTATTTAAGTTCTACTTTGGCACTATGCTTCCTTTAGTGATCTTTTTTAGCTTAACTCTGTTTTTTACATTAAGAGTTCATGGTCACTACCACAGTCTGCTCTTGTTTTGTTGTTTTGGCTGCAAGAATACAGCTTCTCCATCCCCTGCTTCTATTTCTTTATTATGTTTATAACCCACCTTTCTCCCATTGGAGAACTCAAGCTGGCTACATTTGGTTTCCAGGTGGTCTCTCTTCCTAGCTTAGGCTAGTTTAGACCTACTTAGCTTCAACATGGTGAGTGCCTTATGTTGCCTTTAGACCATACTTTGAACCATAGTCTATTTGATTTCTGTATTGGTCATCTGGTGATGTGCATATATACAGTCATTGTTCATTTGCTTGAAATATGTATTTTCAGTAAACAGAGGGGTTAGCTTCACAGAATTCTGTGAGATGTTCCCCTACTTTTTTTTTTAATCCCTAGCCCAAATTTTCCTATAATTGATTCTTTGTTTCCTACCTGTGCATTCCAGTTGTCTAGGATAATCAGCATTTCTTGTTTTTGTGTGTTATCAATTTCCTCTTGAACACCTACATAAATACTTCTTAAGCATTTGTTGATGGAACGTAGGCATGAATGGTGATTATGTTAAGTTTTCCACATATTCTGACTGAGAGCATTTGGTTGGATTCTGCATTATAATCTCTTACTGCCCGTGCTATATCTTGCCTCAATACTAGAGCCACTCCATTTCTTCTGAGTTTGTAATTTCCAGAGTGGAACACTTTGTGTTTGTCTAACTGAAAATATACCATTCCAGTCCACTTTAGTTCACTCACACCAAGTACTGCAGTGTAACTGTTCCATTTCCTGCTTTATGGTTTCTAGTTTGTCTTGATTCATGCTTCTCATGTTCCAATTGTATGTATTGTGCCACAACAGAATTTCCTTTCATCTCTGTGCATGTCAGCCAGTAGACTTCCTTTAGACTTTAATCTAGTTGCATCATTAGCGAGAGCACTATTCATACTCATCCTTTGCCCTTCCCCAGTGGCTCGTTAAATGCCTTTCAACCTGGGGGGGGTCTCATCTTCTTCTACAACCTCTTGTTTTATTTTGGACTGTTTTATCATAGGGTTTTCAAGGTAAGAAGATTCAGATGTTGTTTATCATTGCTTTCTACTTCACAGTGCTATCCAGAGTTAGCTTCAGAGTTAGCTTTTCACTACTGAAGATGCCTAGTAGCTTCCCTTGAGAAGTTTCTCCACCCATATCACCACTAGAGATATCATTCTCGTCTGCTGATGTAACTGTTCCTCCTGTAGAGGTTGGGTGCATGTTTGGTCTAGCATTTCTGCTTTGAGCTTTCCACCTTCGGTGACCCTGCTAGGAGTCCAGCCTGGTGAGATATTCTGGCCCTCTGCCTGCATTTCTCTTGTCTTCTCTGACACTCTCAAACCTCCTCACCATGTTAAAGTGTGCAAGCTCTGCAAGAACTTCTGTGCTTTAAGGTCTATAGCCTGTTTGTCTAAAGGATTGAATACCTCCTTATTTCATGTATTTAGCAACCATTTCAGATGGGAATAATAATCCTCACCCATTATTACGCAAATAGAACACAGAAGTTGAGAGATGGTGCAAGGCCCATGGACCCTGCATAATTTCTGGCACTTCTTTCTGGTGCCACAGGTCTTTCTTTAACAAAAATATAGCCATTTTTAAAAAAGAAATTGCTTAATGGAGAGGGGTAGGGAATGTCTAGCACAAGACCAAATACACCTCCTTCAACTGCATTCTACCCATACACACAATAATGTCATTTTGCTGCCATTTCAGCAAACCTATGGGAAGAATTTGATGAGCCAAAATTGTTTCTCTTTAAGCTAAATTTGGTACATCTAACCTGCGGAATCCATTCAGATCATCAAGCTTTAAAACTAAATTCCACAACACCATTGCAATGCATTATGTCAGCTATTTAACAGGCCTTGCATTAGCTACTGTAGCTTTTTAAATTTAGTTTTATATTTAACTTCTAAATATTGTAATGCATTTTATGATGTATTGTTGTTTGCATTTCATATTGTATTTTATGCATTGTTATAAAGCTCCCAGAGAGCTTCCAGTATTGAGTGGTTTAGAAAGAAAATTAATAATAATGTGGTGGTGATGCAGCAGCAGTGGACAGAGTCCAGTGAGGAGTGTTTCCTAGACCTGGTGAAGTTGAAGTTGGAGCTTAATGTAATGCATGTTAGTTTGGTTCTCATTGAGACCCTTGGTTCACCTGGTCCAGTACTCCCTACAATGACCAGCAGAATCTCTTGCATAGTTTCTTTAAGTTCTGCTATCTGATACTGTTCTGAGAATTGAAGCTATGACCTTTTATGTACAAAGCATGGACACTTTGCCATGGCTCCTAACCCTTGTTGAATTTGAAGAAATGTGCTTGAACTGTTTATGGTAACCTGCTTTTGACCTGATGATTCTTGAGCTATTTACCAAAAGTGATGAATATGTTGTACCATATGTTTCATATCTTTATTATATTCATTATGTGTGTATAAGTCATGATTATAGAAAGCTGGGGTGGGGGAGAAGACTTATAAAGGCAAAGAAGGCACAAAATATCAAAAGTGTGGCGTCATATGGTGCATGGTGGGCAGCATATGGGCTCCTGTGCAAGTGTACCCAACACACTGGGTGTTTTCACAGCAGCAAATCATGGGTTGGTTATTCTGCAAAGCACCCAGAATGAGCCCAAAAGACTAAGTATTTTGTTTTTTCCTTCCCCTTATTCATTCATTAGGTGGTATTCTAGAGCAATATCCCCCTGTCACTGTCATGAAGCTGAGCCACAGCAGTCTTGTCTCTGTTCTCCCCCTCCCCTTTGGAAAAATCTGCTTGACAGCCAGCTTCTCTGCTTCCCATTTGGGCAGCCACCAGCTTCAGATTGTCACAGTGGCACCTTGGAGGGGCTGCCCAGTATTTTCATTTCTGTCCCCAGAAATGACGGCACAAAAATTAAGTTTAATCTGTGAAAGGAGACCACAGATTAGCTAATAAGAGCATTTCAAACCTCCAGAGGCAGCAGGTACATTTCCTTTGCAGTGGACTTGTTAAACCTTCTTCCCACAGATCAGAGAAGCTGCAATGCTTGAGCAGGAGTTGGATGGATTTATACTTGGACATACTTCAGAGTCCAAATACCCCAGATACCCCTGGAAATCCCAACTGTAAAGGAACAAAGAATGTGTCAACTAGTTGTTGGTGAACTGTCTACTGAGTTGTCTTTAAAGGGATGGCGAGATGGTCTTTTAGCCAAGAGGGTCAGGGAAAAGTACATACTAGTTTAAGGAATAATCATGGATTACAACTAGAAAGATTGATTCTTTTTCCTGATTTTACTGTACATTTCCTTTGTCTATCATTATAAAGTGTTCTCTTGGCTATCTCCATAATCTTTCTTTCAAAAGCAACATTGGAGCTTTGGTCAGGAAAATTATTTGTCTCCAGTACCAAATTACAGTTCTGCCAGGTATTCATAATCACACCAATTTGTTTCTTGATTTGGTCAAGCTACAATCTGCAATTTATTTTGTTCAATGCTCTTTAGCTATATAGAACAATACCACCCCCAGTGTGACCTATCCTGTCCCTTCTATAAATTTTAGCATCCAGAGCATTTACCTATTATCTGATATTCTGATTTTTTTTAATTTAGAGGAGGACTAAGTAACCTCAGATTCCTTACCTTATCATCTCTTTTTTCCCATTCAATGTGCAATGTGTAGTTTCCAGAGAAGGATCATGTCATTTCTGTTTTGTATGCACTTAATGCATAATATGTGCTAAACTATGTAAATTGAAATTTTCCTTCTTGGTAGAACCTGCCTCCTTTTTTATAGGAAACTCTGTTTAGGTTGAATTCTCTTTAGTAAGTCTGTTCCTTTGTGTTCCCATATATAGGTTGCTCTACTTGCTTCAGCAAGAAACCTCCAACACCGAGCTGAAAACTGAATGTGCAGTTGTGCTAGGAAGCCTTGCAATGGGTACAGAAAACAATGTTAAATCTCTACTGGACTGCCATATCATACCAGCCTTACTGCAAGGTACTTGCACTTTCATTACTGTGTTGGTGTTTTGATGACACAACTTGTGAGAAGTAGAAAAAGTATCTCAACTTGTATTCACAGGATTACTGTCACCAGATCTTAAATTTATTGAAGCTTGCCTCAGGTGTCTTCGCACCATTTTTACCAGCCCTGTAACTCCTGAAGAACTGTTGTATACGGTAAGTTATAGGCAGCAGGAGCATAACTTTTTTTTCTTCTACAATAACTGTTTTTTGTATCATAGCTTTTATTTAGTATGTAGTGGTCGGATAGTTGAATTTCTGCTGTTTTGAGCTGCTACTGTTTTGATAGGAGTAGGAATTCATTTGTAGTCATAGAGAGACTATGCATAATGTGTGGTTTGTAGATCAGAGGAATTAGAAAGCAGATCACAATTTCTAAAACAGTAGTGTGTAGTGGGGTACCTGAGGTATGCAGTTATTTCTCTTCAAAATATTAAAGCAAATCAGTGGAAGTTCTGTATCCCTGTAAAACATATGTAATTAATGCTGTTTGTTGGGGTAGAAGCAAGTAAGTCTTTCTCTCCCCTTTTCAGAGAAGTTTTGAATAATATTTGTAATATCAACACCAGTGAGAAAACTTTCTAAAACTTTTACTGTAGGTTTCAGTCTAACTATTGGCAATGTTGTTCACTGCAAAGATTCACTGGATCATGCAGTAATATAATTGCTTAGGTTAACTAGAATTAGTGGAGTTGTGAATGGAGAAAATAAATTCACAAAACAAGTATTATATTGTGTAATAGGTGTAATACTGGCTACAGTTGTTGTTCCTGATCAATACATTAATTTGACAATAATCATAAGAATGGAAAATGCTTTCCAGGGAAGCATTTACACAGAGCATGGGTGATAAGTATGAGTTTTCCCTTCTCAGAGACACAAGAGAAAGCTGAAATGGTATCTATTGGAGCACCAGTAAGCTTGAGGGTAAAGATAAGGGGGGGGGTATTGCTCTCATCTGTTTTTTTTTAAAAACTCCTCTCTTTAAGAGATCTGTCCATTCAAGTGCTAGGCTTGAGTATTTGTGCTAGATGTTAAGTTAAACAGATCAGGAATTCAACAGGGGTACTGATCCCCCATCAATCTCTATCCATGCTGACTGAGGCAGTCTTTCGCATGGGATTGAAAAACCTGAGAACACTTGCCTTGGGGGATTTTAGCAGCCATGCTGGGGTTCCTTTATGGTGGCAGCTCAGGAGTTCATGGTCTCTATAGTAACCATGATGTGTCAACATATCACCAGCCAAATACTTTCTGCAGGACACATTCTGGATCCAATATTTGTGATTTGATGAGAAACTAGTGATTTGAGATTGAAGGGGGCTTCTCAAAAATCCCATTGTAAATCTCAGATAATGTCCTGGTTCAGTTTAGATTGGCAGTGGTATTTCTTTTTATGCAAGGGAGGTGGATCCATTAAAATGGACAAGCCCTACAAACTTGTATTATCTGTAACATTCTTGAATGTTTTGGAGGATTTGCTCGTTGACATGACTCGTACTCCTGTTGGAGTGCAGATCTTACTCTGTGTGGGAACAGCAGTTGACAGGCTTGTTCCCAGACATCCTCTCTTATATTGAAGCCCTCAGCCAGTTCCCCTATTTATCAGATAATCTTGATCGTTATTGAAACAACAGGACAACAACCAGAATGGAGTTAGTGTAGATAGCAGCTACAATTGAGCACAGTATTCTTCCTACTTTTCCATTTCCTGTTCATTCTGGAGTACTGTCCAGTAGAACTTTTTCAAGTAGTATAGCATTTGTTACATTTGGGCCATTGAAAGGATATGTTTGGAAACCTGGATGGTCTGGAATGACAAGCTTGTTAGTATTTTAAGGATAAAATCACTTGAATTTGGTCTGAACTTAAATTGTGTCATTGATATTGTTCCAGTGGAAGTGTTCAGAGAAATGTCAGTCTAGTTTTATGAAAGCAACTTCCATTATTGCAGTCTGAGGATGTGGAGAGGTTAACAAAGTACCTATGTACTTGACCCCTGCCCATCTTGACATCTTATATAAATTCAAACTGATTAGGTGGGCCTAGAAGGTTATTTATTGCCTTATTAAGATAAGGAGTTGTGTGACCACTGCCCAAGAAAACCTCCCTGGGTCTCAGTGAGGATTTATTTGTTTTTACAGTTAACCTGGTTGCAAACATTCCCCTTTGGGGCAGGGTCCCTGAGAGAGTGGTGGCAGTCCACCTCCAGGTGCTTTTTATGGAATGGATTATCTAGATTCATTAGGGAGGTTAGGCTGGAGTTGGTGCTGAAACAACTCTGATCACCATATAGATGACTTCTATTGGGAGAGAGATGAGGAATGTGAGCCTGTTCTCCACCTCTTGGCAGTTTTCAATAACAATGACTATGGTATCTTGCTTTGTTGTGGTTTGAGACTGCAGACCACAGTGATAATGTTATTCTACTTGACCTTGTAAGGTCATTCAGTAAGTAATATTAGGGGACTACTGCTCAAACTGATGGCGTAGGAACTGTGCAGTCCTCTAAGATTTCTTCTTGTATTCTGTGTTTTTAAACAAATACGAATTTATTGGCTTGAGATGTTCTGAGGATTTGGAGCAAGATTTCATCAGTATGCTGATTATACCAGGCTCTTCTCTTAGTAATGTCAGATCTGGTGATGTTTTGGAAATGCTGAACTGTGGAGATGCTCTCTAGACTTGGTAATAGGATGGATGAGGACCAATACACAATCTGAGAAGCTGGTGCTCATTTGTCCTGGACAGGGTTGCTCTCCCCTTGAAGGAGCAGTTGTACAGCTTATAGATGCTCCTTGATGCATTATCATGACTAGGGTCCCAAAAAACATTGATTTTTAGCCAACTTTAGTCAACTTCAGCCAATTGCCAGCTGCACATTTTCCTACCATGGTGCTGTCTTTGGGATCAGTTTACACAGCATCCCAAGTGTGGGTCATACCATAGACTTCTATAGAGGCTTTATTTATTTGCTTATTTATTATTTTTCCATGCCACCTTTTAGTTGAAGCTTTCTGGGTTGTTCATACCAATTAAACCATAAAATATGCTATCAAAATTCAAAAGTTTTAAAACTACAGTGCAAAATGGAAGTGAAAGTCAAAGTAAAATCTAGCAGTAATGCAAACATTAAGGACACAATGCAGTGCCCCCCCCCCCCCACTGGAAAGGCATGTCACTCTCTGAATTCAGAGGCTTACATGCATCCAAAGCATGAAGTGAGGTGTGGTGGCAGCAGTTTTGACCTTCATGGCACTTTGCCCCATGTATTTCACTGAAATGGCCATCTTTGGCAGTCCGGATGAAGTGCTGGTTAAATGGACAAGGCCAGGGTGCTTACAGAAAACAGTGTAAGCCAGTTGCCCCAACCTCCACTGCTTCCTGCCCCCCAGCATGCCCCTTTCTCTTCACTGTGAGACCCTGTTGCATTCATGGAGGAGCAGTCAGTGTGGTTCCTTCTGTGTCAAGCTACTGGCTTTGAATTCCAGATTCACAGTTGCAAGATTTTGGAGCTGGACCCTGAATAATCCCATGAGCTCCCCCCGCCTCCCCCATTTAGGCACTTATAGAATTCTGCCCTAAAGATTTTAGAAGAATAGAAATTGAAAGGTGAAAATTCCTGAAAAAATAAGGTCTTTGCTTGGTTTTCAGAAGAGTATAATATAGATAATAGGTGAATTTCTCTGGAGAGTTTATTCCACAACTGGGATGCCACAGCAGAAAAGGCCTTCTATTTTGGCAAGGACTCCTGTGGAAGGATTGCTGAAGATGATCTTAAGGGTTTAGGCAGGTATATATTAGAAGAGACAATCTTTCAGGTAACCTGGTCCCAGGCTCACAGGCCCCATGAAGTTTTCAATGTTAATACCAGCACTTTGACCCAAGCTTGGATATGGCTAGCAACCAGTGCAGATGGTAAAGTCCTGGCCTAATATGATTACATTTGCTAGTCTTCCTTAGTAATCTCATAGCCCTAATTTGGACCAGCTGAAGTTTGCAGACCATTTTCAAAGACAACCCATGTATAACACATTGCAGTAACTGAGCTGAGAGGTTACCAGAGCATGAATAATTGTAGTTAGGCTATCTTTGTCTAGATAAGATCTTGGTATTTTGGCCTAAGCTGATGAAAGGTGCTGTTTGCCACCAAGTTCACTTCTGTCTCTAGTGACAGTGCTGGATCCATGAACCACACCATAACAATACTGTTCCTTTAGGAAGGAATGCAACCCCCTCCAGAACAGTTTGAGTATCATCCATCTGAACCACTCACTAACAGTACTTCTGTCTTGTCTGGTTTGAATCTCAATGTATTCACCCTGATCCAGTTTGTTACCTTGCTCAGACATTGATTCAGAACAGCCACTGCCTCAGCTGGTTTTGAAGAAAAAGAGAGATCTGAGTGTCATCTGCATATTGATAAAACACTTCCTGATAAACTCCTCCAGCAGTTTCATGGAGATGTGGGATGAAACTCAAGCAGCATGGGGGATAAAACTCAAGCTGTGTGCAACCCCATAGCATAGATGTCAAGGCCCAGAGCAGTAGTTCCCCAGCACTACCTTCCAGAATTGACTGTCCTAGTATGAATGGAACCCATTGCCATGCAGTCCCTCCAAATCCTAAACCAAACAGATTATCCAGAAGCCACTGAGAAGTCCAAGAGTATCAATCGGGTCACTCTCTTCTTGTCCTTGCCTAGCATGCAACAGGGCATTCAAGGCAAATTCTGTTCTAAACCAGACCTGAATTCTAATTGGAATTAATCTAATTAATCAGTTTCTTAAAGATTGCTTGGAGTTGACCAGTGGCTACCTATGCCAAGCAGTTTGCCTAGGAAGGTAGATGGCCTATAGGTTTTATCCTCATCTGAGTCTAGGTTAGGCTTTTTCAGAAGTGGCCTAATTACTTCCATCTTTGAAAAGGCTGACACTTCTTCTCTCAAGGAAGTGTTTACAACCTACTGTACTCAGCCTGATATCCCCTCCATTTTAGACATAAATGGGATTCATTTGGGGTAAAGAAGAGTTAATAAGTGCTCCAATAACTCAGTGAATTTCCAAAGCTCATGTGTTAAGAGTCAGCACCATGAATGTTACGTGCCTAGTAATTTATATGCTTAGAGAAGACTTATGTTGGCTTCCCATTTATGAATTTTATCAATTAATTTCATTGTCTCTGGAAATTATACTATATAGGTTTTTACAGAGTTATTCTTTGCTGTATGTTTTGGCTGTTTTGTTTTTAGGTTTAATTTTTAAATAGTTCTATTGTACTTTATTGTTGTATTTTTATCAATTGTTGTAACCTTTGGCTATGAGTACAGAAATTAAATTGATGGTAATACTAATTAATAATAGTAAGTCATAAAGGGCAAGAGTCAAGCAAACAGCTGATTAACAGGGCTTGGCCAAGAACCTTGTCCACATCCTCAGGTCTTAGCAACTGGAATTTACCCAATGAAACTGGTTACCCACTGGCAACTCTGTTAATGGAACCGTATTAATTGTGGTCTTCATTCCTTGATGGGTCTAAGCAACTTATCTTCAAAATGCTGTGCAAGCTTGTTGCAGTGCACTACCAAGGGTTTCAGCATTTGTCTTCTTGGCCCAAATTCAGCATTAATCTTCTTCCACCTGAATTATAGCTGTCTTCCTTCTTGCTTCAGTGCTTCCATCTGAGGTACATGAAGGCACCTCACTCTGTTCAGAGGGAGATGGCACTAGGGCACAATCATATCTACTGCCCGAGTCATTGCTACATCTCACAGAGTGACTTGGCTTCAACAGAAGCACCAGCCATACCAACAGAAAAATTCCCCAGAGCCCTCTAGAATCCATCAGAACCCACTAGCCTCACATGTGTACCATTTTAATAGGCCTGCCACTCTTACAGAAGGGAAAGGCTGCAAGAGTTTAAGTCTCAGTAACAAAATAATTGCTGTTAATTTCCCATTTTTCCTTCTGTCCAATCAAAAGTATCATACCAAATTTGTTTCTTTTCATTCTAGGGCTGATGACATGTTGAAGCTATGGTTGTCAAGGTAGCCATGAAGTCCTGAGCCACCCTAGATTTGGCAGCCTTATTATTCTAGTAGTCCTCAGCACCATATCTGAGACCATCACTGTTAGTTTAGACAGAGAGTCTGAAGGGTAATGGGGTGGGTATTACACCCAGCAGAAGTGCTAATCTATCTCAGGTAACTAACACTTGAATAGACAGACAGACAGCTGAAGAGGGAAATCAAATTTCGAGAAACCACAGGAACCAACCCCCTTTCCCTGACCCTCAAGTAAATGTTGGTGGTATATGACTACCCAGGAAGACACTGCTAGGAGAAATTAACCCCTCCCAGTTCTTTCACCCAGGTTTTAGTAATGCACATCAGCTCATCCCTTCCTCTCAACCACAATTAAATTATGGATGAGAGTGTTCATTTTGGACTGAATTGACAATTCCTTTCTTAATGGTCCCAAATGCAGAATTTTCCTTTATCACAGCAGACACCCCTTGAGTTACTTTGGCATGCACTCCCAATAGAGATAAAACTGGAGCCAACCCTACCATATTAGAATATTCCATTTTTTCTAAATATTTAACATTTTCAAAACATGCTTGCTTGATTTTGTTTGTTTTGCTAGTTACATAGTTTTTATGCCTGTAATTTTGTGGTTATTGTATTATATCCATAATGTTGCAAACCACATTAAGATCCTTTTTGTATAAAAGGACATTGTAGTCACATTTTAAAATAAATAGGAATGTAACAAATATACAACAACTGCTTTCTGGTGTTTAAATTTTTAGTTTTAATGTTCAGTTTTCTTCCCTGACTTTCTAGGATGCTACAGTTATCCCCCACCTCATGGCACTGCTCAGTAGGTCTCGGTATACTCAAGAATACATATGTCAGATCTTCTCACATTGCTGCAAAGTAAGAAAGGAGCATGCATATTCTCTTCAGGGGTTTGTAAAACCAATCCCCCCCCCCCAGGTTTTGGCTTTCAAAATGCCCTTTTTTATTAAGGTAATTTTTCTTCTGTGTGATAACATTGGGCCAGCCAGGTGGAGTCTCTTCTTCCATTTGCTTGGAAGGGATTATGGGTTTTTGCTCTTAAAGTAAAATAAAAGAAAAATAATTGTTATATGTATTATAAAAAGATAGTCAGGAACAAGATTTTCTCAAGATGGGAACCTGTTCAAGTTCTTCAGTGAGCTCTTAAATCAAAGCAACATGAATAAATTGTTATTGTTTACTTTGTAGAGCAACGAGCCCATCATTTTCAGCTTGTTCCAGTTTATCTGGACACAATTTTCAAAACTTTATGTAACACATGCTGTTAAGTGAATGACTGCATATATTGCAGTATAACCTCTTTCTTTTCTTTTTTTCCCTTTTTTGGTGAGCCTTTACTTTTTTAATAGTCTAAATTGATACAAAAACTGTTTTATACATGTTCCAATTTCCAGTCCCACAATCAAAAACCCAACAAAAAAAAAGTTTTAATCTGGAGAGTTGTTCCTACTCTACCAGATACCCAGCAGTTCATAATGTTATGTTATCTGTTTTCCATATTTAACTACAGGTATGTGACATGGATGTAGCATTATTCCCATTATTTCTCTTTTATTTTAAACCTGAGATTGACATGAGTCTCTTACTCTTGGAGTATGAAAATAAAGGGACTTTTAAAACTTCCAGTTCAGTGACTTTAGCACAGAGCTTGTAAGCATGTCAGTTTATAAACTCTTAGGACAGTGCATAAGGATTTTGTATTTCTTTTCCGTAGTAGATGATGTCCTTGAGTTCAGCCTACCATTTCCTATTGGTCTCCTTGGGGAATACAGCATTTTATTATTATGTGACTTTCAAAAAATCCCATACATAGCATTGAGAAGCTCAAAGTTAATAATACATTGTGTTTGAGACAGAAAAACAATGTACTAACAAGTCAAAAATTACAGCACCATTCTTTTAAATTTATGTTCATAGCCAGACTAACCTGAAAGAAATAGCCATAGCTCTGAAAAAAGGCAGGCAGAGGGGTGGGGTTTAAGCATGTGATTTCACAGCTTTTGTCTGAAATGGTACCACTGAGGAAGATGCATTACTACCACATGCTATTTCTGCAAGTCTGTATCATGCACTTTTATGTGGATATAACGTGCTATTGCTCAAGGTCTTGTTCTGTTGCGGTTTAAACTGATGCAAATGCTACAATGCAGAAATAAACTGAAACTACTGCTGTCTATGTAGAAGAAGCTGTAAGTGATAGTTTTGTCAAACAATGTGTATCATTTTAGAGATGTCCCTTGCTGAGTTGCTACTATCAAATGAACAAGGTTCAGGCTTTACGTATATTGTCTGATTGCTCAGTGGAGAACACTTATTCAAATGTTTGGCTGTACAATATAACCTATGTGTGCATGTTGTTCAGTTATTAGGAAAATGCTTGTTTTTTCCAAACCATTACAATATTAGAGAATTTAATAGGAAATGTAGATTATCTGGAACCCTGTGTGAATGATTAAACTTAGCAGCCTAAATCATGTATTTAATGTGTAGATTACTGTAGCACAAACCAGACTTAGTGGTGAACTGATGATGATGATGATGATGATAAAACTGGACTGAGAAAGCTTGTCTATTTCAGTAATTTACATTTCACCAGGGCCAGAGGGAACTCTCTACCCTGAAAAGTTTCAAAAGTAGTTTGAGTTAGAAACCTGGTACAGATGACATGACAACCCACCTCATTTTATATCATTGGTAGGTTATCATGTTGTGTGAAGCAGGATCATTTCACCATAGTTGGCTTTTTAAAATTCAAGCCTCCCTATAGTTGGTCATAGGCTGTTGTGTTTGTCACTGATAGTGGGTTGTCATATCATCTAAATGAGGCTGACCTGACCCTCTGTGGGAGAGCTCCAACAGCCAGTGGAACACTTGGTGAGAGGAACAAAAATCCCTTGCTACTCTTTACAAGCAACTGCTAGGTGAGCACCACTGAGACAGCTTACAAAGTGCCCAGGTCACAATTCAGAGCTGCTGTTAGTTGCTTGCCCCTGCCCACAGGAACATGCAGCAACCATCCTGGTTGAAGAATAGGCTTTTCAAACTAAAGATTGGCTGGGATCCCATCCTCTTTGATCAAGAACCATGGGTCCCCTTGGCATGGAGCAGCAAACATCCTTCCTGGTCACTGAAGAGGTATAATCTCAAACTGCTGGCAAGGATGGGTAGGAGGTAACTGTTCATTTCACACTGCTTTTCAGGGCAGCAACATGGAACAGATCATGCTACTCAGCTGCCCGAGAGGTCTATTCTTGGACAGGAGGTAGGGATGTCTGATGTGCTCAGTGGCACTAGCTCAAGTCCATGGCAGGATTGGGCATCCCTGCTCCTCTGTTCTGCCCAAGAGATCTACTCTTGGGCAATGGTCAGGAGTGGGTGATCCTCTTGGCAGTGTTGCTTCATCCTTAAGATGGTACCACTGAACAGATCAATCATACCCTGTTTCAGCTTCCACATTCTCCCCATTGCACTTCAGAATGGAGTCCTGTTTATGCAATGGGAATTTTTGGACAGCTGCAGCAAGCTGGAATTGGCTTGCAATCATGGCTGTCAGGGTGAAGAAATTCATCCCTCTGGAACACTGCCTGTAGTACTCAAAATGAGCTTGATTGTCTGTCATGCTTATCATGGGTACTTAACAAAGCAACCAACCTATTATGGCTTATTTCTAGGGTGGGTTTTGTGTTGTACTTATGTAGCTGGAATGTCAGGTAGCTACTAATGTGCTTTAATGATCTTTAGCATTTATTTATGGTGTCTGAACTATTTCATATACATTGATTTTGATGATCCTTACCATCAAGGTTATTATAAGTAAATAGGTCAGTATTATTTCCATAAAATTACAAATGGAAAACTGAGGCTGAAAGACCAACCTACCAAATGCTAGCTAGAACCTTTGTTTTAATTAGAACACTGAACTCTGTCAACCAGAATGATGTGCAAAATGGTGGCTCACAGCGGAACCCGAGGCAAAATATTTGCTCATGGGTTATGGTGATTTATGCACTGTGTCCTTCATTACCAAATACAATCTACAGCTGAGTTGTTATAGAATTCTAACACTGGCATCAGAGTTAGATAAAGGTCCCATTAAAGGCAAGCAATACCATATTTGCTGGTGAGGAACACTGAATCTTTGTTTCTCACCAGGAACAATAATCACAAATCTAATGACAGAGATTTTCTTTTACTTTCAGTTTTGCTATTTAAAAGTACTATTTATGATTTAGCCAATCTACTCTAGATTATCCTTAGATTTACCAGTGGATTCTAAGTTATCTTTTACCAGTTCCCACCTAAATAATTCATAGTAGAAATTAATTAGAACCTTTAGTAGTTCCCAGATCGCTATTCACCTTGCAATTATTGTTTGTCACTATTTTAAAAATTTATATATTGCTTTTCTGCAGGACTGTGTTTCCATCTTGTATATTAAATCATAGTTGCTAAATCCAGAATGGACCCCAGTGCAGTCCAAAATACTGCATATAGACCTAACAAACCAGGGTTCAAATTTTAGTTCATAAATCATTACATGATATTTGAGAAACTTGTGTGGGAGGGGAGGGTGTAAATCCACAGTGCCCATATAAGTTGCAAGAATAAAAGAGTAGGCAGACAAAATTATACTTGACTTTAATTCTATATCTTTCAATATCTGTTCTTCAGCTCCGACACTGGCATAGCTGCGGCTTTAAATCCTCGCCTCAGCCACTTCTATGTGCCAATGTAAGTTTTTTCTACAAAATGGTATAATAATTGCATTTTTATTAGAAACGTTGTCAGTGGTAGTAGCTGAAGTCTTTCTTAAAAGCCCAAATTCTTCTCAGATGTTGTTAAGTTGGTTATTTCAGCACATTTTCACTTGAGGCAGGATATATGTATACATGTTATTGGCATTTTTGCCAGTGTATTGGTTCTGCTTTAATCCTTTCAGATGTCTTGCAGATCGAAATCAGAGCAGCAGAACTCTTCTCTTGAGAAGATTAAGCCAGAACCAATACTGTTGAGTGGTGAATGGAGTGTGGCTACTTTCCTACTTTATAGCATTTATTCTAACATTCATAACACCAGAAGAATACAAAAGGTATGAAGTCCAAATTGCCAGTCCCAAACTAAGACTCTTTGGCCATCAAGTCTCAAAAGTATCATGTACTTAATCTGATTTTAGCTTAGAAAAAGCAAATCAGAATCATCAGGCTGCTTCAGATTATATCACAAAGGAAGAGCATTGGATGGTTTGGGCAATGGAGCCTGAAGTGTTCATTATACAGAAAAGGGAGAGGGGCATGATCCTCCAGTGATTAACTGGCTGAGGAAAGCTCTCTCATAACTTCATGTAACAATGGTTGGGTAGACCTTGAGCCTGCAGCTAAACATGGCCACCAAGTCTTCTCAATTTATTGACAGAAATCTCTTCTTGCTGTGGTTGGCATTATTTAGAAACTGTGACATGCTAGAACCTGTGCCCAGGTGTCAACTTGATATTGTCATATTACAACCATAGCATCATTTATAGAAAGAGAATTAACTAGTGTCTTAATTCTGATGGGATACATATTTTGTCTTTAAGGTTTTTTGAAATCTAGCTTTTTTATGACATATCTAGACTAGTTTAAGCTTGGTATATCTTTTATGGTTCAATTATATTATGTAAAATATAGCTATAGATCTTTTTATGAATTAATATTTAATACAGTTAGTGAGTGCTATGCAAGTATTACAAAAGGTTTTTCAGATGTTTTATATCAAAGAGTATAATGGGCAGGGAGAATGTCCAGAAGCAATTCTACAAATTTCAGATAAAGGGTACAGACAGTTAAGGAATAGGGATAAATGTGAATCAAATATAAAGGAAAGCTGATTATTATTATTATTATTAATAATATTAATATTAATATTTGTTACCTGCCATTCAGGGCAGGAGCCTTCCCAAACCAATCTGGTAATTAAAAACAGACAATTAAAAAAAGCAGTGTTGGACACATTCAAAACTATATATCAACAAACAGACAAACTAGCCAAACTAGATTTTTGCTTTATGGTCATCATCATAACAAAACAAATAAAACAAATAAGGCACACATGAAATATCTAGTAGCCCATGTTTCTCAGAGACCATTTCCTGCTTTTTTCTTGTAGCTTTTAAGTTACTTTTGTTTCAAAGTGGCTGTTTTTAAATCTTGTAATTATGAGCAGTGTTAAGGTATTTATGTTAATGGAAAAGCTGGATATAAATATTAAGATCAATAAATATGTGCCACCAAGTGCCTTTCCTTCCTATTCAGCAGTGATAGTGCTTGGTCTTTGCTGCTGCATCAACTTAAAAACTTTCTTCCTCCACATCCCCACAAAATTCCTACAGTGTTATGTTATGGTATCTTGTGGACCTTGCTTTCCTGCAAAATACTTTCTTACCAGCAAGCATCTTTGTCCCTTGCTGAGATGAACATATCTTCTGCCTATGTTTCCTCCTGGAATGGCATCTACCACCAGCCTATGTACATCTGTTTCTGCTTTTCCCATCTAGCCACAGTTCTGTGTAGCTGTGCTGTACAACGTGCTTAGTAATGTAATATTGCAGAAGAGCCTCCCATTAGTGGTCATGTTTTTATTTTTGAGTAATACTGCTAAAGGTTTCACTGGACAGCTTTCATCTGTAAGAATTGGTTAGCTGTAATGACTGGCAGCTGCAACTTTAAACAGGAAAACTGAAACTATCAGCACCACTTTGATGCTGCAGTTGTGGTTGTTAACATTTTAGAACCAACTGTAAGACAATAGCCAAGAATTGGTTATAGAAGACTATTGTCATATAATTTTGGATAATTGGTTGCCTGTTTGAGATGTGCATTTTGCAAATCACTTGGGACTTCCTTATTTTATGTTGTATTAAAATACAAATAAGAAAGAGCCCTATGGAGTTCTTTCTGTTATTCTTTCACATGAGATTAAGTCAGCTAGAGATAATGGGCCACTAGATATTGGTGTCTGCTTTTTGATATTCTACAGCCATACTTTCAACTTATTTGATCAATAAAGGGAATACTAAGGGTCTCATTTCTTTGCACTCTGACATCACAGAAGATGGTCATTCAGTGCATAATACCCACTGATTTTTGGTGTATTTTTAAAATTAAAATGTCACTTTCAAAGTTGCTGCTTGTCTTTCAAAATTAATATAAATGGAGTTCAGCTGGGCATCTTTCATTGGTACTGATTATTTTTCTTTTACCTGTTGGTGGTAAACTGTTAAGAAGAAAATGTTTTGTTATGGTCAGACTAAACATTGCACTAAATGTGTAGCTTGCATTTCTCATTTTCTTTCTTAAAATAGCTACTGGAAAGGTTAAAAATCCCCTCCCTGCATCTGCAGTCCTAAAGAAAATTCTTCCCAAAGCTTTTACTTATCTTCCATTCTGAGGTAAATTTCTGATTGGAGGGGAATGGTTTTCATCAGGACTGAGACACCTTGCCTTTTTTATCTTGATCAGCACCCTGACTATATTTTTAAAGGAAGAAGCTAGAACACAGCAACTACACATTTCATGTAAGATGTAGTTTGAGCATTTTTTGTTGTAAGGCACAAGATACCTTTCAGAATTGCTACCAAAAGCCAGTCAAATTGATGAGGTACAATGAAAAACCAGTTCCAGTCTTAACTCCAGATGAATAAAATCAAACCTTGAAAATTAGTAAGCTTTCAATTAAGTAATACAAAATGCAGCAAAGAATTATCTCTCTTCAACCTTTACGGTATGTTTAAATTGCTGTGGCCTGTTCTTTTCTTTTAATAGGGTCCAGACCATCAGACAGTCCTGTTTAACCATGGAGCAGTGCAGAATATTGCTCATCTGTTAACTTCTTCATCCTATAAAGTAAGGCATTAATAGAATCTCTGATCGATAATGTAAGCTACTGTTTTAAAATCTTGATGCAGCATTATTGGTGAAATGAAAGTGTAAGTATAATAGCTCCTGTTCTGATAGGAAAAGGATTCCATATTTTTTTTCCTGTAAATTTGGGTGTAGATATGTAGAGAGACTTTAAATAGTGTTTCCTACACCAGAAGTGGGCACAGAATAGTCTCCAGATGATTTAGTCTTAAGCTCCTAGCATTCCTGACCACTGGCCATGTTGACAGGGGCTTCTGAGTGAAGTGCAAAATATTAGGAGAAATGCCTTCTGCCCACTCATATATCACAGAATGGCGATGGGGAGAGCAGCACATTTTCCATCCCTGCCATAGAGGAATATTTCTATGATCAGTGGGAGAGGCATATCAGAGGTGAGGGAGAAAGAACATGAAAAGGAGCAGCACCTCCATTGATGGCTTTAGCCATGCATCTTGTGATGTAACAATGATTATCAGTCAGCACTTGTCTATAATGTGACTATGTATTTAGTATCTCACACTTCAAAACAGAAGCAACTTAATTACATGGCAGAATGAGGGCACAATTAAAGGGAAAGTTGAAATAATTAAATATTCCAAGCCAAGGATGCACAAAGTTAAATATGGCAATAATTCTACTATAATATGAAGTGATAAAAAGAATTTGAACTTCTGCAAATTTAATAACTTTGTGAAACCCACAGCTATGATTAATTTAAATCTAATATTTGTACATAATATGTAAGCAGATAAGGGAAAGGAATTGAAAGCAAATATTCATTGCAGTGTTGGAAGACTGCAGAGAATGAACCCAAATTCTGGACAAATTTGCATATCACACTAAGCTACCCTAAAATTAAGCCACCATGTGTTACTTGCTAGTTCACTAAAAAGAGGACAATCTGCAGTTTGCTATAGCTTGCTCCCCTCTCTTTCAGTCCTACTGGTTTCCTGAACATATCCCAGATGCCTTTGTAACAAGTTCTTATTTTCTCAGTCCCTAACTTACTACCCTTTTTGCAGTTGTTCCAATGACCTTGTCAACTCCCAAGGAAATTCTTCTAACATCAGATTGCTGAATTGAATTAATTTTTATGAACATGGTAATGTGTTTGTATTGCATTTTTTTCTCTTTGAGATCATCTCAAGGCCACTCCTCTGCTTCTTTTAGCCAAGTGTACAGAGTTTTTCCTCTTATCAATGTCCTTGTCAGTTTCATCTTCCCCATTGACACTGCCCAAAAGAACACCTCCCTTGTATTTTTTGAAGATGTAATTCACCATGGCAGTATTTAAAATTAACTCTTTTACTTATCTGCTATGCTGTTGCTTTTCCTTTGGCCTTTAGTTGCTGATTGTTATGCTTGAATGTTGCTAGTTGCCTTGAATACTACTTCAATAAATGGACAGTCAATCTAAATTTAAATAAGTATTGTGGTATATTATTCATTCAATTTATATACAACTTAAAATATCTAAAAACAATCTTAGAACAGCTGTTAGGAAAGTAGCTGAGTGGACAAATCAATTAGACAGTAAATTCTTAATTATAAGAAGATATTTCAATTATGCAGTCAGCTCAGAAGTCTGATTTTGTATATTGTCCTAAATATTAAAGCAGGCTGTATGTAAATAAGTTTCTGGTTGTAGGCACATTATTACTGCTGCTCATATTACTATCTCTCTTTTATCAAGCAGAGAAGTAGGTGAGAACTTTTCCTGTCCAAATCTAACAACTTTCAGAGGACTGAAAATGTCGCATTGGAGCTCTGCCTCAGACTTGAGAACCATGCCTCCAGTCATTTAGTTTTACTGGTTTATTTAAGGACTTCCTGTGTGTATTCACATGACTTTCTTATGGAACAGTTAATAAAACCTAATCCAGATTATAGCTTTCATTGAACTTAATGACAATATAAATGCTGTGTATTTGTACAGGTTCGAATGCAAGCTCTGAAATGCTTCTCAGTTCTAGCCTTTGAAAACCCCCAGGTATCAATGACTCTAGTAAATGGTAAGCTGAAAGTTTCAGTCTTTAATGAGAACTTTCACAAAGCAATTGCCAATTAGTTATTTCCTGAAATGTATTTTCTCTTTCTTTCAGTGTTAGTTGATGGAGATTTGTTACCACAGATTTTTGTGAAGATGTTACAAAGAGACAAGCCTATTGAAATGCAGCTCACATCAGCCAAATGGTAAACTTTTCCAGGATCTAGAAACAATAAATGCTAGATATATTTACTTATTCATTTTTATATTACATTAACTTCTGAGTAATTATGACAACACTATACCAAACCATACAGCAAATTCTCAAAATACAAAAAATGGGGGGGGTACTTTGAGTCAACCTAAATAATTATTGCTACCTTAATACATGTCTCTACAATTATATTTATAGCCTCTACATTTTGAAAACTTTAAAATGCTTGCTTTAGTAGACTACTAAGAGAACAGTCCTACGGTCCTTGAAAGAGTGTCTTAGGGTGAATAGGAAATGGGGGATTCCATGTAGATAGATCTATCACCTGAGGAGATTGGTGAATTCTCACTCATAATTCCCCATTCCTCCTAGCTCCCTTTCAGAGGTCAGTGTCATGACCTTGGAAGAGGACAAGGGGACAGGAGGCATAAAAGGTCATAAAAATAGATTTTTATTTATGAATTCTAAATATACTCTTTGATGTGTAAGGAGGTTTGTTGGGTTAGATGTTTCTTTTATACTGTTATATTTTAATGTGTTTTGAGTATATTTGTTTTATTATTGTTTAAATCAGATTTTATCTCTGATTGAAAGCCAAATTGAATACCATTTTCATGACCTAGCAAGATGAGCTCAAAAACCTGTCTAATGCAGGTTTTTTAGAGGGCTAGGAGGCAAAAACTGCCTTTACTGTTTATCCTGTCCTTCCAACAAAATCCCAGTAGGGTATAGAATTCTGAGAGGGTGACAATCCTGCAGGTGTTTATCCTAGGACAAGTTAACTATATAGTTGTGTTAACTTGCTTATGCAAACTGTGATATTACTACAGGTAGAGGTCCTGATTTGGAATATATGTTTTATATGCAGAAGGTCCCTGCATCCCCATTTAAAACAATGTCTCTGGCATCTACATCTAAAACAGTCAAGGAGCTGGTAATGGGGAAAGCCTCTCTTTGCTGAATCTCTGGGGAACTGCTGAGAGCCAGTGTATTAAGTGGTTAAGAACATGGGCCTGGGGCTCAAAAGATGTGGGTTCTAGTTCCCAATCAGCTATGGAACTGACTGGGTGACTTTGCACCAATCATAGACTCTCAGCCCAACCTACCTCATGGGGTTGTTATTATGAGGATAAGATTGAGAGGGGAATTATATAAGGTAACTTGAGTTCGTTGTAAGGAAAAACAGGATGGAAATATAATAAAATAAACAAATTCATTTTTTTTCTTTTCAAGGAACTCAAGGCAGCTTACATAATTCTCTTCTTCCTGCTCTCAATTTTATCCCCACAACAACAACCCTGTGAGGTAGGTTGGGCTGAGAGTCAGTGCCTTGTGTAAAGTCACCCAGTCAGCTCCATGGCTGATTCCCTCATAGAACCCACATCTCCTGAGTTCCATTCACACACTTTTAACCACTCTATCACATAAATAAGCTGTTGGTAGTCATTATAGACCATAATGTTTTAAATGGAAAATTGTTTCTCCTATTATAATAAAGCAGCTTTTCATGTTTTATTTGGATACAACTGTACTCCCAGCCAACATGTATATGATCCAATTTGCTTCTTCATTGGGAAAATCTAATGTCATGAGAATTTTTTTCCCCAGTATCACAAATTTTTAGCTTTCAGGTGCTTAACTGTTTTTCATTTAACTTTTAAAGGCATACCATTTATTGTTTTATGGTTAATCCAGATCAGCATATAACAGATCCTAAAATACACTTTAGATTTAACTTACCCATATTGTCGAAAGTATTTAATTGTCCTTGGGATCCTAGTAGATACTTTAATCTTCCATTCTTTTGTCATTATCTGGATAAATTAAACTTAGCAGTAAATAAGCATTTGATGGTTTCATTATAGCCTTACTTATATGTGCAGAGCTGGAGCAATCAGCACGGATGATACCTGCATTGTGTTAAAGGTAAGTTGGTCAAAACTACAACAGCATTTGTAGCAGTTAACCAAATGCAAACTGTCATGAACCAAGTCACTGGCCTGATTTGCATGCTGGTTTATAACATAACCCACAAGCTTCTGCTTTGTAAGTTCTGTGGGGTGGCACATGTACCTGGAATTATGGGTTGTTTAGGGGCAGAACAACTTAGAAGTTATCCCATGGTTTGTTGTTGGGTCAATTAATGGCTTGTTTAGCCCCTAAACAACCCAGTGGTCCTGGTTCAAATATTGCACAGCCTATGAAGAACATGGGTTGTGTAACCAAAGAAGAAGAAGCGGTCCCTGTCATATGTGAACAGCCTCACTGAAACCATGGTTTCTGCTAGGGATTTAGAAAGTAGCTAATCAGACTGTTCCTACTTGCCATGATTGTTGCTGATTTCAGCTGTATGTTCATCCTTTCCCACTGAATTTCTCTTGGCTTGTCTTTGTTAAAAGAAGAGAGTGTAGTAATTATGTCATATGAGGAGTCATTTGGAATGGATTTCGTATTTGTATTTCACATTCCGTATTGAGTATGTTGCCTCAGGAGTATGATGGTCAGAAATGATCATCATGAAATTAGCAGGTATAATGAGGAGAAAAAACCTTCAAAATAGCTCTACTCCAGTTTTGAGGTCAAGAACATCTTTTACATCTCAGAAAGTTATCATTTAGCTTTTTGTAACAGCTAGCTGCTTTTGACTGCCTCTTAAGTATGGGTTCCTTTCAGTAAACCAATACTATTCTGTTCATGTAATTTTAAAACAATACATCTTATCTAATGCCTCACTTTGTGAAGAGTTGCCTGGGGCTTTTTGTAGAAGGGATTGCTCCTTATTCCTATTAGTTTGGTACCATTTGGTTTTTCAAATGGGAAGTGGGTGGTTTTATATTCCAGAATGCTATATGTTGTGACCATTACTATATAGGTATTATGGGCCAAAATGTTTCTGGTTGTGCTTAATTCTCTTCTGTCATAACACTCAATTGGCCTATATTTAAATTGTGGAATTGTGAGAACAATTTCAAATAAATCTTGACAAATTTGACAGGCTGGGATTCTTAGTTGCATATCATTTCTTAATGTTTATAGCAGTGGTTGCATAAAATTATGCTTCTGAACAGGCACTTACATAGATCTTTGGGAAAATAATTGATTAGGAAATGTTTAGAAAAAAGACTTTAAATGATAACTGTAACAAACTCACTAAAAGATGTATGAATAAATTACTTGAAAAACTAATTATAATGCTTCTGCCCACTAGACATTACCATGTTTGGCACGGATGTGTAGTAAAGAGAGACTGCTAGAAGAGAGAGTGGATGGAGCAGAAACTCTTGCCTATTTGATTGAAGCAGATATCGAGCTGCAAAGAATTGCCAGTATTACTGACCACCTTATTGCAATGCTTGCAGACTACTTCAAATATCCCAGTTCAGTGAGTGCCATCACTGATATAAAAAGGGTAGGTTATGTCAGCAAATTCAAAGTTTACAAAAGCACATGGGAAAAGTTATTAAATTATATCTGAGTGATAAGATGACACAGGTTAATATATTTTATCGCATACCTGTAGAATTCCAGATCTATATACCAACCAAACTAGAGTTTTGATGAAATCCTTCACAGAGACTGGGATAAGAATAAACTCTGGCCGTGCACATTTATTCCTCCCTTAGTGTGAATGAGTTAACAGTCCAGGAAGTCTTCAATTATCTGTGGTTTCCCATTTGGGAAATGTCTTTGGATTAAGCTAAGATATGAAGTCATAGATATGTGCTGGTTTAATATCCTGGCTTAAGCAAAGCAACCATAATTTTCTGATGCTGACAAAATGGGAAACTAATTGAAGAGGTCTTGGTTTGTTCAATCCTACTGTAAAAGGAAGAGTGAAAGGGCTCTGTGCATCTCCACAGGACTTAATCATATGTTAACTTATTAAGCTGAGATATGATTGTTCAAAGCAACTTAATGTGACTTCCTGAGCACAATACTTAATGTATTCTTAATATCACACTAAGTTGATTATTGAAAACATTCTGGCTTGGTCTTAAATGATATGAAAATTAAGAAAATGAAATTTTAGTTAAAGCTTTAAATGTCCTACATATCCAGCTGATATTCTGCCCAATTTGTAGTAGGAAAAAAGGAGTTTCATCCTTGGCACTCCAGATAGAAGTGTCCAGCTTTGCTTCCATCTTGAGGCGTACTCAAAAAATAAAAAGGACAGAACTGTGTTAGGTGCTGCTAACCTTGATCAATAAGCACAACTCTAGTATTAAGACTTTTCCTTCAGCACCCTGTACCTACAAGAATGTGTTCAGCATTTTAGGTTACACTGACTAGTGAGGAAATGGCATTTTACCAGGCCAAACAGCTAACAGCAAAGTACAATGTTCTGTGTGATTAACTGCTAATTGAATGTATGGTGGTGTTGGACTACTTGGTTTTCTGTACTGTTGCCAACTTTCTTTTAATCTTCCTCTGCTTAATGTCCTTTACTTTAGATTGCTGAGGTTGTAACATCAGCAATCAGTGCTAGCTTTAAGAGGGTAGGCAACTTGAATGGCCCTGAGAGACATACGTGGCAATAGATAGGCAGCCAGTGGCCCATGTGGACTCTCTTGCTCGCTCGCTCGCTCGCTCGCTCGCTCTCTCTCTGTCACACACACACACACACAGTAACATATTGGGGGGCAGTTGGGAGCCAAGATGTCTGCAGTAGGTCTGAAAGGTGGTCCCTAGCGGCTCCATCTGGCCTGTACTCTGTGTTGCCCACCTCTGGTTTATAAGATCTTGCCTAGTAATACTACACAGAAAAAAAAAGTGGAATACTACTGGAGGCATGAAAGATATCAATTTGTACAAACTATTAATGGTATTTGCCTAGTACAAACACTGTAAAATTTAGTTGGTTCAAATGTAATTCTAATAGCTGTTTGAGAGGTGGTTGTATAATGTCCATAAAAAGCATATTGCTTAAAAACAGCTGTGTCACTTATTTTGTGTCCCTTTCAGTCTCCCATGTTACTCAGAGCTCAGAGTAGGTACTCTTCTGCAAACAAGTAAGAGAGTTTTCAATTTAAGAATGATTTAAATAATTTAAACTAATTTATTTTTTTCTTTTTAAAAATAGCTTGATCATGACTTAAAACATGCTCATGAACTACGCCAAGCAGCATTCAAGCTGTATGCTGCACTTGGAGCAAATGATGAAGATATACGAAAGAAGGTGAGCCTAAGAACACGGTGTTGTTTCTAACCTGCCAGTAGCTCAGTCGGGAAGCATTTTTTTTCTGGAATATGCAGAATGATAAAACATCCATTCCTGACCTGCTGAATAATAAAAATCCTCCTTCAAACTCGATTTTGTGTCCTTGTCAAGAGTCTTTGGTCACTGAAATACAGTCTGTGATGCTTCTTCTTATGTTTAATTTTTTGAGTTCTATATATTACTGAACTTTCCCTTTTTTGTTAGTTGGACCCTAAATGTGTTGACTTTCAGAAACCTCCACAAGAGATCTTTTAAATTAGTTTTTGCTAGTGAATAGAAATAGATCTTTGGTATTCTAGGTTTCTGTACCCTTTAGGAGGCAGATGTTCATGCCCCAGCCAGCATAACTGGGAGTAGTTTCTCTGACTAAATATGCATGGGACTTTGCCTTAAGGGAACTTTCCCAAATTGTATTAAGGGTTTCTTTACTCAGACACTAAAAGCATGTGAAACATGTTTTCCACTTTGTGCAATAACCTATAAGTAACTTGAGTATGGTGTTGTGCACTAGATTGGGAAGTAACTGTTTTTCTGCTGTTGCTACTCTTACACAAGTTGTATGAAGGGGGAATCATAGAGCATCCAATTAATGTATAGAAAAGAATCCCTAAAAATTGAAAATATGGCCTGGCCACTGGGGTGTATGTTTTGTTGGTCACTAGTTCTAATCAAATGTTACATGTAGGAGAATGTGACTCTTGCACAACCTTTCATGCATGCATGCACAAAATAATGGCAATGTGAGGTATTTCTAATTTCTAATTTTGACCCACCAATTGAACCACATGCAGTACTATGGGTGAACAAATTGGACTAAAGCAAAAAACTTTTAACTCTGTACATTAAATTCAAATGCAAATTGAGCAACCTGAAAAAAATGTGAACAGTAAAATAAATTCCAATTGTGAACATAAAAGTCAATGACCTCTTTGTTCCTGCTTCTTATTCACAATTTTGTTAAAAGATGGAACTTTCTTGTTGATTGTGAGGTCTGTCTGTGGATTCAGGCAATTCCTTAATGTTGTCTTGATTGACAAAAGAGAACTGAATCCAAATGCAAACAATGTAATAATAAATAATCTTGGACAAAAAACATTGCAATCCGCCAATTTTGGTAAATTGTAATTCAGCCTTCCTCTTTCTCTCACCCCTGGGCATATAGGCACCCCAGGTTGGGAACCCCTGATGTAATGTCTTATCAGGAATATGATTTTTTTCTGAAAGCTTCTGTCTTATTAAAGTGACATTTTCTCTAGTTAGCATATTTAGATACTGCATGAAGAATATAGAATATTGATGCAAACACGTTATATGTCATGGCTGTAACTTCTAGTACTATTCAACTCTTCTAGGGACTTCCTTAATTTCATAATTTCTTCCTTCAGATAATTGAAACTGAAAATATGATGGATCGGATTGTGAATGGTTTGTCTGAATCTAGTATCAAGGTGCGCTTAGCTGCAGTCAGGTATGAATTTATCTATTGTGAGAAGCATTGTGACCATTTGTTAGGGTCTGGGGCTGGAACAGGGCAATAGAACTTGAAATGAGACAGTGTTGAAATGTAAGGTTTAATGGCAAGTCCAATAGCAAAGTCCAAGTTGTAGTAACCAAAGAGGCCTTGGTCTGGAACCAGTCGTACATATCAGGGCAAAAAAAGGATGTGGTCAGGAAGACACCAAGGGTCAAGAACCTGGAGGACAAACAGAGGTGCCGGTACCTTGGGCGAGATACACAGCAAGGCAAGGTGCATGTATTTCAACCACAGCTAGCAGATAAACCTGCATTGCTGAGGCAACACAACAAGACAGGATACACAGCAAGGCAAGATATAGGTCAGGCAGAATGCAAGTACAACAGCAAAGAGAATAACTTGTGATGCTGAGGGAACATTGAAGTGAAGAGACAGACAGCAAGATGCAGGATACACTCAGGAATCAGGAGCAGGCACAGAGGAGGATCTGGGTTGTTGAGGTCAGTTCTGGAGAGAAGAGCTTGCTCTTACACAGTTCTTCTCCCAGGACTCCCAGTTGGCACTTTTCAGTAGATGAGAACTTCAGCAGGGCCTGCAACTGATCCTTTGAATATGGTGGTGGTTGCTGTGGTCCTGGACACCAGAGCAGCCTAGATCCTGACACTAGTATGCTTAGTTTAACTGTGTTGCACTTAATTACCTAGAGTAAACAATGAGGTTAAAAGCCCTGAAGACTGTAAATCTTCTTCAGCAATATTTATTATTTGAAGAGAAGTGAAATAAATTTTGGTTCATTTTCAAATCATACTCAATTACAGCCAGTGCAGTGTAGTGGTTAAGAGCATGGGTCTGGGATTCAGGCAATTTGGGTTCTACTCCCCACTCAGCCAGCTGGTTGACTTTGGGCCGGTCACAGACTCTCAAACCAACCTACCTCACAGGGTTCATGTTGGGATAAGAATTTAAGAGCAGGAGAAGGAGAATTATGTAAGCCTCTTTGACTTAATTAGGTAAAACATGGCATATCAATCTAATAAATGAGTTTTGCATTAGATTTTTCTGTAAACCACATGAAAAAGCTACTTCTAAGCAATAGAAGTGTCTTGTGGTTCATATTTTATTATTCTTTGCAGATGTTTGCACAGCTTGTCACGATCCGTGCAGCAGCTTCGAACAAGTTTCCAAGACCATGCTGTATGGAAGCCCTTAATGAAGGTAATTTTTTGCCCATCAAAATGTTAGATATTCTGTTCTAAAAGTTATGTTTCTGTATGACTCATACACATGGATGTGTATGAGTTACAGGTGTGAGCCGCCCCGAGGCTTCGGCGAATGGGGCGGCACAGAAGTCTCCTAAATAAATAAATAATAAATAAATACCTATGTTCAAATTAGATGGCAAAACCACCACAGGGTTTTGTAGGGATGGATTTAATTTACTTTTTGTCTTTGTTGACTGTTCTAATATATTACATATTAGATTGACTGCTTCTCCCTTCTGCTGGTTTAACCACAGAGTTTTCTTGGAAATAATGAACTGTTTTCAGCCTTCATGTTGAACATTCCAGTAATCATATTACATTACTATTTAGGATGCAGTCATCTGGCTTAGTTGCCTGATCAAATATCCTGTGCTCTGCCTTGCTCTTGCTGGCAGTTCGGAGGAGCAAATAAGTCTTTTTTCATCCATCTACTTTCATCATGGGTCCTCAAATTACAGCCTGTGGGATGGATCCGGCCCATCCTGCCCTTTCATCCGGCCTGTGGTGCCTTCAGTGCACGGGAGGCAGTGGCTTGCTCACTCGGAGATGGTTTTGGACTCGCTGGGAGATCTCCCAGCAAGTTCAAAACCATCTCTGAGCAAGCAAGCTGCCGCTGCCGCCTGCCTCCCCTGCGCCCGCTGCTGCCTTGCAGTGCAGGTTGGAGGCGGTGATGTCCTCACTCTGAGATGGTTTTGGACTTACTCGGAGATCTCCCAGCGAGTTCAAAACCATCTTCGAGCGGGCGAGCGCGCATGCGTGGAAGAGGCAGGTGGCGGCTTGCTCCACTGCACGCCCAATGCCACCTCGCATCCCTCCCCCTCGCCGGCCTGCCCATGTAGCCCCTGCCTTTCAACTGACCCCCTATTGAAAAAGTTTGAGGACCCCTGACTTTCATTGTATCTTGTGCTGCTATGCATCTGAGTTAATCTAGATGTCACGTGCTGCTGGAAGTGGTGACTGGGAGTCTGTTGGCCCCATCTCTCTCCCCCCCTCCACTCCCTCCCTCACGTCTCCTTTCTTTTCATAAGATTGGAACTAAGACATCAGAAGCCACTGTGAACCTTTTAATGACTACTGAGAAGGGTGGGGGTGAGTGGGGTGGAGGGCATACCCACTTGTCTGTGACCTAGCAGGAGGAAATCTTGGTGCATGGCCTTCAGATGCTGCCTAGGTGCCGCAAGATTACTCTTACAAGGCTCTGTCCGATAGGGCGCAACTACTAACATAAATTTCATTGTGCCATTGTAAACTACTCTAATGTAATACCAATAGTTTAAGCAGACATGCTGATTTCCCCAGGAAAACTGCATGTTACCTAATGCAATTGGCCTTGCACTGGAATAGTTGCTCTAGTACCATGTAATTTACATCAGTGGTTGCACTCCATTGGATACTGGCCTTAATGTTGAAATTACAATTATATTTCCTCGTAAATCTTCTTTTGAAGATATCATGAAATAATCTTTGAAGGTGCAATCCTATGCGTGCATGAATGGCTGTCTGGGGATTATTATGAATTGTGGGGCCTTTTTTTTTGACTGAACATACATTCTAAATTAATTCGCTTAGCTGACCAAAAGTGATTTCTATTGTGCAGGCTTCTCTACCACACTTGTTCATCTGTATTTACACATAACTGGATCCTCTTGTTTGATAGTACATTATTCAAAAACCTTGATAGTATTGCGTGTTTGGCAACCACATCATGGCTGTGGTAGTAAAAAAGTTGCACAGATTTTATCTCATTGATAATCTAAACACTTGTACTTGACATAAAAATGATGGAAACATAATTTTCTATAAAATGTTCACAATATGGGATGAGACAGGAAGTGATAAGCTGCCATGAAACATGAATTATGAAAGAATATTAAAACTACCCAGCAGTCCCTGAAAAAAATATCTTTCCTGTGATGTCCTCAGCCATTTATGTGAATTCATCCAGAAGGTGATCTTCTAAGTTCTAAAAAAGTATATATTAAGAAAAGGTATTATTGGATGTAGAATTATCTTTAATTAATATGTAATAAATGTGATCTACCTATTATGATGTCATTGGTTTCATTATGAACAATTCAAAATCTAAGTTTTACTGTAAGTGGTTAGTTGCAGAACAGTAATCTTGACTTTTGGCCTAGCATTTCCCCTGACATTTTTCTGCGTTAGTCTGATTTGTAACTATAAATAAAGTTAAAACTCACTGATAAAGCAGAGATAAAGCTGCTTTTTTTGTTTAAAAAATAACACTATTCTGGTGGAAATAGCAAGGAAATCCATCCCTATCATAGCATGTGCAAAGAGCTACCCTGTAGAGGGCGGATGCTCTTCAAAGCTGTGGCAAATTTACTTAGTGGCATCCTTGTGATGAGTTCACAACAAATGTATAGATGAAATTACTTTTAGAGAGTGCAAGAATGATATCCCCTTTTAAGTTGTGGAATACAACCTGTCACATGTTGTTCTTTCATTAGCAAGAGAGGGAGTCGTTTCCTACATCTGGGGAACCTTTCACCCAGTTTAAGCCCTGGCTTCTGGCATGAGGGGTGTTTCTTTCCTTTGTTTTTGTTTTTATTTGTGGGATTTGATAGTTAAAGGAATGCTTGATTTTTCTTCCTGCTTCCCCGGCTGTGATAGGATGACTAGGATGCCACTTAAAACTCTGTTCCTGGGATGGGAAACCATGGTGACCATAGAATCATCTGCAACCATGGACACTTCTTTTCTTTTATAACAAGGTATTCCTTTCTCCTTCTCCTTAGGTGTTACAGAATGCTCCAGATGAAATCTTAGTGGTAGCATCTTCCACTCTATGCAATCTGCTCTTAGAATTTTCTCCAAGTAAAGAGGTTGGTTGGACTCCATTAACTCAAAAACTGCATTTGTTATTCTTTATGTAATCTAAAATGTGTGCCCTGTGAATTAAATTACATTAGGCTGATGTGCATAGAATACCGCTCATGGTCCCTTTAAGCTTTCTAATTCCATGACTGTGACGATAGTCTCTCTGTTCTTGGGCCATGCTCCCAACTCTCCGATTTCAAATCTGTAAGCAATTCTGTCTTATCTCCAAATAGACAACAAACTCACCCTAGACCAGAATGTTCTTTCGAGTTCAGATAGTCCACATTTACCAGGCCATTCACCATATGAAATAATTCTGCTAGAGAGTATTTAGCAAGTAGTATGGTACCAATTTAATACTGTGTTCCAGTTTCTATCATCCTACTTCAGCTTCATATTCCATTAAGTATATTTATATAATGGTTGCAATGGTTTATCTGACTGATTTATCAATGTGCAAGAATATCCTGGCCTTGCTGAACCAGAAGACCATCAACAAGAATGACTATCTGGGTTAATACATATTTCCACTGAAGAGCTATATATTCCAGCTGGATCTATACATCTCCAAAAATGGTTGAACATAAATAATTGTTTACAGATATTGAGCCTTCAGAAACTACTGAAACAGAAGCAAAAGTTAGACTAGCCAGGTCGGAAGGTGTCCAATATGCTACTGGGGAAGAGCAGAGGGCTAGTACTAGTGGCGCCAGAAAGGATGAAGCAACTAGGTCAAAGTCGAAAGGACACTCAGTTGCAGATGTATCTGGTAGTGAAAGGAGAGTCCGAGGCTGTAAAGACCTATACTCCATAGGAACCTGGAATGTAAGATCTATGAATCAAGGCAAGCTGGACGTGGTCAAACGAGATAACAAGACTGAACATCGACATCTTAGGAATCAGTGAACTAAAATGGACAGGAATGATTGAATTTAATTCAGATGACCATAAGGTATATTACTGCAGGCAAGAATCCCTCAGAAGAAATGGAGTAGTCTTCATAGTCAATAAAAGAGTAGCAAAAGCAGTACTGGGATACAATCTCCAAAATGACAGAATGATCTCAGTTTGAATCCAAGGCAAACCATTCAACATCACATAGTCCAAGTCTATGCCCCAACCACTGGTGCTGAAGAGGCCGAAGTTGACCGGTTCTATGAAGGCCTACAACACCTTCTAGAATTAACATCAAAAACTGATGTGCTTATAATCATGGGGGATTGGAATACTAAAGTAGGAAGCCAAAAGATAACTGGAATAACAGGCAAGTTTGACCTTGGAGTACAAAATGAAGCAGGGCACAGGCTGGTAGAATTTTGTCAAGAGAATACGATGGCCATCGCAAACACTCTTTTCCAACAACCCAAGAGACGACTCTACACATGGACATCACCAGACGGTCAACACAGAAATCAGATTGACTATGCGCTCTGCAGCCAAAGATGGAGAAGCTCTATACAGTCAGTAAAAACTAGACCAGGAGCTGACTGGCTCAGATCATGAGCTTCTGGTTGCAAAATTTAGGCTTAAATTGTAGAAATTAGGGAAAAGCACTAGGCCACTCAGGTATGACCTAAATCATATTCCTGATGAATATACAGTAGAGGTGACAAATAGATTTAAGGAATTAGATTGGATAGACAGAGTACATGAAGAACTATGGACGGAGGTTCGCAAGATTGTACAAGAGGTAGCAACTAAAACCATCCCTAAGAAAAAGAAATGCAAGAAAGCAAAATGACTGTATGAGGAAGCTTTACAAATAGCTGAGGAAAGAAGGGAAGTGAAAAGCAAGGGAGAAAGGGAAAGATTCACCCAATTGAATGCAGAATTCCACAGAATAGTTAGAAGAGATAAGAATGCCTTCTTAAATGAACAGTGCAAAGAAATAGATGGAAACAATAGAATAGGGAGGACCAGAGATCTCTTCAAGAAAATTGGAGATATGAAGGGAACGTTTCATGCAAAGATGGGCATGATAAAGGACCAAAATGGCAGGGACCTAACAGAGACAGAAGAGATTAAGAAGAGATGGCAAGATTACACAGAGGAACTATACAAGAACGAGCCAGGCTTACTTTTACTTTGTTATTTTATTGAAAGCAGGTAATTAATTATTGGCCCTGATAAGTCTATTTTCAGAGTACAAAGAGCATGCTCATATTTTTCAGATCCCTTTCTACAGCTGTGAGGTCACTTTCAAAATAATAATTGTCTTTGGACTGTGTCAGTTATATGTTCTATCCTGTAAGGGCATATAACATTCTAAACCTGTAAAATACATTAAGAAAGATAAAACTGCGTATTTTGAAAATACTTTGAACACATCAGTTTTAATTTTTAAAAATTCTTATCACATGCTTCATATTAAAAACAACAACCCCAAACGGTGGGCATGTCATGAGCAGAGCCGGCTGGAGCTGGGGGTCAGACTAGATGGCCCAGGAGGTCCCTTCTGACTTGCTCTGTTTCTATGTTTCTAAATTATTTTAATGTGAAGTATACATTTATCATTTTAATTTGATCACAAATACTAAAAAACAGAAAAAGCAAAAATATGCCAACCACTTCATAAAAGCAAAAAGGTGTACCACAAGCTATAGGCAAGGAGTGGGGAACTATTCTGGCTCTGGGGGCCAGAGTGCCTTCTGGGACTACTGCCTGGGGCCTAAATCTTTTCAGGAGGTGGACCCTTCCTCTTTCACCCCAAAGCCTTCATCCTTTGATATCATCTACACCTTTCTCTCTGCAGTGAGCGGAGACAGGAGTGGGGTTTTCATATACACAGAAGCAGATAGGCTGGATCAGAAGCAGATAGGCCCTGTGGCCAGTCCATCCTTGGTATAGCTGAACTCGCTGTAAGAAGGGAAGAAACAACTGAAGCAGCTCTCAGCGTATACCAAAGACATCCTTGTACAGCTAGGGCTCAACTTGGCATCTGAAAGTATTCAGTGTTAGAACTTAGCAGGCCTTTTCATAGAGAATATTTTACACAAGACATACACTTATAAGTAAAGAAGCTTCTTATTAAATCACTGTTACCTTTCAGTCAGTAGGTTGATCCAATACCAGGCCTTGTTTTTAATGAAAATGAGTCTATATATGCAAGGACAATCATTTAACAGCCATATTGTGTTGGGAAGGTATTTTAGATTTCCACCACTATGCCAATAAAGTTTTTAAGGTATTAGATTGCAAATTAAGCATATGTTAGAACCCAGCTACAGAGAGTATAAGCACGTTATAAACCAGTGCATATTTGTTTAATGGACTAAGCACCTTAAAAAAATAAACTCTTCTTGTACATACATAAACACACATGGTAGGTAAAAGTATAACTCCAATTTCAAAACTGATTTTTTGTTTTCCTGTTTTCTGTACAGCCTATTTTAGAATCAGGAGCCATAGAACTTCTCTGTAGCTTAACCCAGAGTGACAATCTTGCCTTGCGAGTGAATGGAGTTTGGGCTTTAATGGTAAGAATTAAGTTAATTTAACCAGGTAGTATTGTCTGCACACTACCCTCTTTCCCAAAGATTGCATTGTAATAACATTGAAAATACAAAGTTCAGCAGAGAAAGTTAAAATGTTTAACTCAGGGCATTTGGAGATATCAAAAAGTGCTTGCTTACTCCTAAGAAATGTTCCTTGTATATTATAGTTGTATGTATGATTGTGTACAACAGACAGTGAAAACTTTTGTAGTGGGAATTGTATGTTTTTGTGAAAAATGCTGCAATGACTGCAAATATGTGATTGGACTTATCTGTCTTTTTAGAACATGGCATTTCAAGCAGAACAAAAGATTAAAGCAGACATTTTACGAGGTTTAAGTACAGAGCAATTATTCCAGTTACTCTCTGATTCTGATGTAAATGTACTAATGAAGACTTTGGGACTACTTAGAAACCTTTTGTCTACTCGTCCTGTAAGTAACATGATGAATCAGTTTTAAAGAATTCTGAAAATTAATTTTAATGGACAGATCCTGGACAGATTCTGTTCATGTTTAGACAAGAAAAATGATCTAGAATTTGCATATTGTTTCTGCCTAAGCATTCAAAAGATTCCCTCCTTAGAATACTGAAGAAATGCCATAAATGAGGATAAGAATATGTTCTTAATAGACATCTTGAAATATGCATGTGGATTTGCTTGTTTTGGTTTTAGCTATGACTTTGTTATTGATTTTTTTTATATAAAGAAAGGTCATATATACAACCTTTGTGTACAAATCATGTGTACAAAATTATTTAATTTTTAAATAATATTTAATTTAGGTTCTGGAATACCATTTTCAGACTTTATGGTGCAGTAAGATGCACTTCCAATGTTATGTTTATAGAATAAGAAATAGGTTTCTAACAAAACAATTTTAGATGTTGTTCATTATTACATTGCTTTTTTCTCCTGTTTTTTTCTTCTTGTGAGGAACCCAAAATAGCTTACATAGCTTCATTTGAGCTATGCTATTGTCTACTTGAAACCAGAAATATCCAGTGCATCTGCCAGTCCGACCTTGAGAGCATTTTCTTCTGTTAAGAAGTACTAGTTATCAACTAGATGCTGAGCAACTCCCTCCCAATCTATTGGATCAGTTTAGATGCAACAGGAAACTGTCATTTTAGTACTATGAGAAATGAGCCCTGCACTTGCATATTCCCCATTCCTCTTCAGTGATTTGAAGTTGTTTGCAAATATAGTTTTAAGGGCAAATGTTAATTATAGATTGCTATTTGAACATAACAGCAAACTACTGTTTGATTAAATCAAGGAGTAATTAATTGAGTTGGAGGGAAGAAAGGTGCTCAAGCTTACTCCTGTAGTGCCAAATCATTGTTCAATGTTGAATCTAGTATTTGGTGTTCTTAGGTATAACAGAACACTGTCTAAGCAAGATGCAAAATGTAGACTTTATTAAGTAAGTCACAGTACAAAACATTCCCGCCCTAATTACAATATCAAGTGTGTCCTTTTATGCAAATCAGTGCAGCACTAAAATGAATCCTCCCCTGCAATACACAGCAAATACAAACACGTATTATTGCATCCTTTTTTCTTTTTCATTCCCTACGTCCATATCTTAAACACTTTCTAACTATTCTTCCTTTAGATGCAATTGCTGGTGTCTCCTCTAACTCCATCTTTCTAAAATCATTCTGTTCTCATTTCTCACTGTCACTTCTACTATCATCCTTCCCAAACTTGTTATGCTGCTGCCTCGTGTGCCCGCCTCGCGGCGCGTGCTGCCCCACCTCCCCTCGCTGGGCATGCCTGCTCACACCTTGCCTCGCACCCCGCCCCTGCCTCAGCATGCACACCCGCACGCCCCACTCTCGCCCCCTCTCCAGCCCGCGCACAGCTCTGGCACCACCTTTCTGGCCCAGCACCAGTGCCTTTCAACTGGCCCCCTGGTGAAAAAGTTTGAGGACCCCTGTTCTAAAGCTTCAAACGTCTTATAGCTCTTAGATATAGTAGCAGATGAAATACCAAAAGAAATGTATGCCTACCAAAAGGTGTGTTAAAAGTACATAATCTGGAATTCAGTTCATCCACTTGTATCTGCCAGAATCCATTACGAATATTCAATGCAGAAAACAATTTTGTACCAGCCAGCTTCCTATTAATTTCATCTACTACTGGTAACTGAAAGTATTCTCTAAGGTTTTATTCTTATCTCTTGGATCCAAACAAATTCTTATTTGAGCTTTGTTGTTGTTGTTGGTCATAACGTCATGTCTGATCCATCGCAACTCCATGGACAACATTCTTCCCTCTCATTAGGTGGCCAAAGTATTTTGAGTTTCATCTTCAGTATCTGGCATTCTAAAGAGCAGTCAGGGTTGATCTCCTCTCGGACTGACTGGTTTGATCGCCTTGCAGTCCAAGGGACTCACAGGAGTCTTCTCCAGCACCACAATTCAAAGGCCTCAATTCTTCAGCGCTCAGCCCTCCTTATGGTCCAGCTTTCACAGCCATATATTTCAACTGGGAAAACCATAGCCTTGACTATACGCGCTTTTGTCGGCAGGGTGATGTCTCTGCTTTTTAGTATGCTGTCTAGATTTGCCATAGCTTTCCTCCCGAGGAGCAAGCGTCTTTTAATTTCTTGGCTGCAGTCCCCATCTATGGTGATCTTGGACCCCAGGAAAATAAAATCTGTCACTACCTCCATTTCTTCTCGATCTATTTGCCAGGAAGTGAGAGGACTGGATAACATGATCTTAGTTTTCTTAATGTTGAGTTTCAAGCCAACATTTGTGCTCTCCTCCTTCACTTGCATCAAGAGGCTCATTAGTCCCTCTTCACTTTCTGCCATTAGAGTGGTATCATCTGCATATCTGAGGTTGTTGATATTTCTCCCGGCAATCTTAATTCCAACTGGTGATTCATCTAGCCCCGCCTTTCTCATGATGTGCTCTGCATATAAGTTAAATAGGCAGGGCAACAGTATACAGCCTTGTCGAACTCCTTTCTCAATTTTGAACCAATCAGTGGTTCCATGTCCAGTTCCCACTGTTGCTTCTTGACCTGCATATGGGTTTCTCAAGAGACAAATAAGATGGTCTGGTACTCCCATCTCTTTAAGAACTTGCCACAATTTGTTGTGATCCACACAATCAAAGGCTTTAGCATAATCAATGAAGCAGAAGTAGATGTTTTTCTGGAACTCCTTAGCTTTCTCCATGATCCAGCGTATGTTGGCAATTTGATCTCTAGTTCCTCTCCCTCTTTGAAATCCTTCCTGTACTGCTGGTAGTCCTCGGTCCACCTACTGCTGGAGCCTAGCTTGTAGGATTTTGAGCATAATTTTGCTAGCATGCGAAATGAAATTGGAATGTAAACTGACCTTTTCCAGTCCTGTGGCCACTGTTGAGTGTAGTACTTTTACTGCATTGTCTTTTAGGATTTTGAATAGATCAGCTGGAATACTGTTGCCTCTACTAGCTTTGTTGTTGCTCAGACTTCCTAAGGCCCATTTGACTTCACATTCCAGGATGTCTGGCTCGAGGTCAGTGACCACCCCATCGTGGTTATTAGGGACGTTAAGCTCTTTCTTGTATAGTTCTTCTGTATAATCTTGGATTCAAACTGAGATCATTCTGTCATTTTGGAGATTGTATCCCAGTACTGCTTTTGCTACTCTTATTGACTATGAAGGCTACTCCATTTCTTCTGAGGGATTCTTGCCTGCAGTAATATACCTTATGGTCATCTGAATTAAATTCACCCATTCCTGTCCATTTTAGTTCACTGATTCCTAAGATGTCGATGTTCAGTCTTGTTATCTCGTTTGACCACGTCCAGCTTGCCTTGATTCATAGATCTTACATTCCAGGTTCCTATGGAGTATAGGTCTTTACAGCCTCGGACTCTCCTTTCACTACCAGATACATCTGCAACTGAGTGTCCTTTCGACTTTGACCTAGTTGCTTCATCCTTTCTGGCGCTACTAGTACTAGCCCTCTGCTCTTCCCCAGTAGCATATTGGACACCTTCCGACCTGAGCAGCTCATCTTCTGGCGTCATACCTTTTTGCCTTTTGGTACTGTCCATGGGGTTTTCATGGCAAAGGTACTGGAGTGGGTTGCCATTTCTTTCTCCAGTGGATCACATTTTGTCAGAGCTCTCTGCTATGACCTGTCTGTCTTGGGTAGCCCTGCACAGCATAGTTCTTAACTTCATTGAGCTACACAAGCCCCTTCTCCATGACAAGGCAGTATCCATGAAGGGGAATTGAGCTTTACCAGGTTTATTTAGAATCATTATTGAATGTACCCATTCAGTAGGTTCTTCCACTTTAATAATCATACCTCATTGTTCCATTCTTCTAAGTTCCTTTCCTATCTCTTTCTTTAACATTACTAGAATTTTACAAGAAGTACGTAATACAGATGTTATCTGTGGAACCATTTTAATTAGCAATTGATCTGGCAGACATCCTAATCCCTGAAATACATCATCTTAATGCTTATATGATTGGGAGCAGCAGCAGGAGAACATTATAAAGTGTTTTAGGTCCTTTGTAAGAAAAAAGGCAGGCTATAAATGAATAAACAAATATTTCCTTGCCTTCCTCACTTTGTAACACATTAACTCTTTTCTCTTTTCCACTAGCTCTAAATCACATGAAGCCAAATTGTATGTGGTTTATTGCTTTTTAAAAAAAAAGTGGCTTGGGTCTATGGAATTCACAGCCACAGTTTTGATAAACCCTAAACAAAACTCAGCAAAATGGTGAGTCTTACATTATAAGCAAGGGTCTGCCAGCACCACTAGAGACAGCCTTTCAAAATGAACAAAAAAAGTAAGATGTTTAATGAAAATTATTTATAAATCAGCACTCACTCTTAAAAGGTTGGGATTGCTTAATGTTTCTTAAATATGGTTGCTTGCCATTCCTAATAATCAGAGGGTCTTTCCCAGTATGATAAATTTTCAGTAGCTTTTCCCTCAGACTAGATTTCCTTAAACTCTACTCCACTGTTTCCTGAAATGCCCTTACAGACAGAAACAGATCTGTCTGATCTGTACATCAATCTGTTTCTGCTTACAGTTCTTCCTGCTTCTTTTGGATTTTAGAATCATTTGTAAGTTCATCAACTACTGACTGAATCTCCCTTTGCTCAAAACCAAGTAGGAACCTCAAACATATGATGTACAGTATAACTTGATTTATTCATAAAATTATTGTGATTGGCATAATCAATTTTAAAAGTAAAGTTCATTCAGATTGTACTTGCAAATTTATTAACTTGGAATTTAAAATACCATGATAGTGATTTTATGACCAAACCAAATTATACTTTATTTAACTTACACTCCATAGTCCAAAAGACTCGGTAAGTGGATTACATGAAAAGTGTATCTTTTTTGTTCCTAAAGCATCCCAACCTGGTGCCCTTCTGATGCATTCCAAACCAGTGATCATGCTGGACAGAGCTGATGGAAGCTTTTAGAGGACATCAGGTTGGAAAAGCTGTTATGAAGCAACAAAGTGACATTAGGTCTGTAAAGAGGACTAAAAATAAGTGTAGTATATTTTTCTGTTTTTCCTCAGAAACTAATTACCTTTTTCTCATGGCTTCTCTGCTTTTATTTATCATTTGTAAAGAGAAGTTTCTATGCTCAGTGATAGCAGCTTTTACTTATGTAGGACTCTGTTCAACTTCCACTGTTGCTGATAGCTATTGGCATACTTTAGATATACTTTCTGTAATCACATGATAAACAGGTATGCAAGTCAGCCTCTTTTGCCTCCTGAGTTTTAGAATATTTGTGATACTTGGGAATAAGAATTCTGTTAATGGAATTCCTTTGTGAATCTTAACCTTGTAAAAGAATTATTTACTAATGTTGTGTTTGAAAAATTTGACAGCATATAGATCAAATAATAAGTACACATGGGAAGCAAATCATGCAAGCAGTGACTCTGATTCTGGAAGGAGAGCACAATATAGAAGTCAAAGAACAGGTATTGTGTACTGTTGTGTCAAAAAATGCCTAAATAATAATCTAGCCTCTTTTTTTAAACTGAGCTATACAAATCTAAATTCTGTGTAAAGTAAATCCAAATTCTTTGTCTTGAAAATCTGAATTGATATGTATAAGGATACTTTCATGCATTTATTTCTTGCTTCCTTCCCAAACATATAAAGAAGGGAAGGTACAAGATGGGCTTCTGCAGGATTCCCCACTCATACAGAATATTAAATTAAACCAAGCACACTGCCCTCATGCTTCCAGGAAAGCTACCACACAGCAAAGATCAATCAGCATGTGCAGGTCCTCAGCTGATCAGACCTGGAAATTTGAATCTCAGCAGAAGCTCCTGTAGCACCTTCAGGGCTGAAGGATATCCCTTAGAGTGTGTATGAGAGAGAGAGAGAGAGAACAATCACTCTTTGTTCTCATTTTCTTTAGCCCCTAACTCATACAGGTGCTGGAGCACGTTGTACTTCAGTTACTAATGCAGGATACCATTTTCACCATCTGATTCTAAGTCAAACTGTTAGGATAGCCATAGGCCAAAGAAGAGAGGAAGCAAGTTACCCCACATTTGATCCTGAACCCATCATGGGGGCTGGGCTAGGGGGCACTGGGTGGGTAGAATCCCAGAACTCTCAGGATATAGTACTCTTCAGCAAAATCCCTTGTCTATTAGATGAAGAACATGAGGGAACAGAAAAATTGCCTCCTTGCTATATCATTTCCTATACATTCCTTAAGAATAACTTGGCTTGTCAAGTTTGTGCAGGATACTAAAACTCTGATCACTTGAAATCCTCTTCCTTTTTCTCTTGTCCCCCATTTATTCAGTTCCATGCATTGCATGGTAAACTACTTGAGAACATTGGCCAGATTCACACAGTCCCTGGGAAAAGAAAATGCAGTGGTTTCTTTCCTCTGTACCAGCATTTGCCAATAGCACAGTCTGTTATTTTTCTAATTACCCTAGCAGTACACAGGTTGATATGTCATCTGAACCTGGCAAAGTATATGGTAGAGGGTGACTTTGAAAAAATTTCAGAACCCTACAACAGTTCATGGGTTCTGTGGTGCTTTGGAAGCCCTCCCCCAACTGTGCCATTTGTGCAGTTAGAAAGATACCACAACTTGAATTCCATAAGTGTAATTAGGCAAATCACACGGTATACAACTGGCATGCACAGTGGCTTTTTTTCCCTGGTCACTGTGTGGACTCAGTCAAGTAATTGTTGAAACTATTGTGAAACTTTACCATCTTTCTATGCCTTATATTGTTGCTATTCTCTTCCCTTTCCACAGACATTGTGTATACTTACCAACATAGCAGATGGAACCACAGCAAAAGAGCTTATTATGACAAATGATGATATCTTACAAAAAATAAAGTATTACATGGTATGTAATGTATTAGACCACTTTTATACCATTCCTATAAGTTATTCTTGGGGGAGGGGCTATTACTTAGTGGCAGAGCATGTATGTTGCATGCAGAACGTTGCATGTTCAATCCCTGGCATCTCCAGTTAAAGTCGATGCCCTGCCTGAACCCAGGAGAGCTGTTGCTGGTATGAGTAGGCAGTTCTGTGCAGATGGACCAGTGTCCTGAAGGCAGTATAAGGTAGCTTTATATGTTCACTAAATATCAGGGGGTTTCTGTCTAGTGTAGAGATCTTACTAGGCAGCAACAAAAACACTATCTCACTCAAAATTAAAATGTGTAATTAACAGCCAAAATGCCTACTGATACATCACATCATAGACTGTACATAGTCACAATACTGATTTCCAAATTTTGGATTGAACAGGTGAGTTCAGGATTGTTGGGTGATAATTTTGAGAACTGGAGTTTATAGTGGTTAAGAATCAAATATTCAAAAACACATTTGTCTAAATGGATTTCTGTTCACATGCAGAGCCACTCAAATGCAAAACTTCAGCTGGCTGCTATGTTTTGTGTATCTAATCTTATTTGGAATGAAGAAGAAGGTAAGAAGATGCAACACTTGTGTGCGTTGTCTATGTGTGTTTCAAATGCAGTATATGCCTTCTACAGGCATTGGTGCAGGAGGCTTGTGAAGCTTTCAATTTCAGTGCTGGGGGGGGCATCATCTATTTGATTGTGTATAAGATGAAATAAAACTGAGCTGTTCAGTGTGTAGAATGTATTTTCATTTGGGAATAGGGACCAATCAATTAAAAGAATGGTGATGCGAAAAAGCCACATGATTCCCTTGACCCAAAAAGGGAACATATGCATAAAAGCATGTTAAATGTGAAAAAAAACCCCACTGGACAGGATATGTGTTTAATGTTCCAGTGACTTCTAGTGAAGTATTATCAGCAGTATGGCTGAGACATGAACAAGTGTCATGCTTGTGTCAAGATGCTGAGTTTGGGGCTCTGCTTGAACTGTTTCTCCAACCATAGAACAGGAAAATGCTGCATAAAAGCTAATCATAATTAGGGTCTGTGTCACTGCCACTACATGCTGCACAGAAGCAGATACTGGTTTGCAATAGTGTTAAAAGATTTTTTTTCTGAAGTGGATTGTCTTAAGGAATCATGCAGCGCCAAGTAGTTCTATTATTGAGATTATTGAGAGCTACTTTGTAACTTTGTTCATTTGATTGCCCAAATCATTCAGGTAGGCTAAGATAATGATAACGAAGCTCTTAAGATGCATTATTCAAGAATGATAAAATACAGAAAATAAGAATCAATGACATTAAAAAATACTGACATCAAAACTGTTCTAAATTGCAGACATATGATGAGTTTAGAGCACATATATGGTTTATTAGAATTTGAAAAGAAGGTAGCTTAAATGTTGAAAATACAATCTTCAAAATTGGCTGAATTATATTACTGTTGTTACTGATTCACATATTCATTCTCCAGTATTATCCTATGTGACTGCAACAGGAAGTATTTTATATGCCAAATAATGGATATTACCAACCCCACCCCCAGTAATGAAGGATGTTACAGTTAAATTAATACATTATGTAAAAACTAAAAATAGACAACAATGCAAGAAGTTTAGAGAAAATGTGTGGTTATTGTTTATTGAAGGAGTAACACACATATTTCTACAGCATATACATTTTTGCAGCTTACCGAAATCAGTTGTTGGATGTGTTTGGGAATTAATCAGTATATTAATGTAGTTTATTTATTGTAATACAATAAGCTATCACAGTATATCACATATAACATAAAATGTTTTTAAATGTAACCATTTAGAAACAAAACATAGAAATTATCAATGTACAGTATTTATTCTGCATTATAAAATCAGTTAACACAATTGCAGAAACAGAAGGCAGTATCTAAAATATTACATCTCAATAACATAAGGTGAAAGCCCTGGAGAAATAAAGATATTCACAGATTTTCTGAATGGGCCAATGCTGTACATTTAACACATTAATTTTGGAAGGGAAATCCAGAAACAAGTCTATTTAGCTTTGCTTCAGTGATGATATCTAAGAAGATCTCCATTGTCTAATCTTAATTCACTTGGAGAATGCATGGGAAAAGGTGCTACAGGGTGCAGGGAATGCATGTGCACATAACATTTGAAGCTAACTAGAGTTTTGGCTGAAGCTAACTAGAGTTCTGGAGTTTTTGTGGCATTGTACTACATTTCTTGCAATTCTATAATTGCTTTTGGCCGATAAAACAAAACAAAACACATTACCAACAGTATGCTTTTTTCCTCATTTTAGGTTCCCAAGACCGTCAGGATAAACTCAGAGATATTGGGATAGTAGATATTCTACACAAACTGAGTCAGTCATCAGATCCAAATCTTTGTGATAAGTAAGTATAAAATTCCAAAACCAAATTTGGATGATCTCAGTCTATTTTAAAATGTGCATGCAAAATTAAACTTGTTATTTTATTGTGCAGCACTATCAGTAAATTTTATTTCTTGAAAGCATCATACTATTTTGAGTGTTAATTATTTTGCAAACTGTACACTTCTTCCAGTGCAAAGATGTGCTGAAGCATCTTGACTAAATTGTTTGGAACAGATAAGAAAACACTTTGCTTTTGAACTGTGGAGCGAGGGCTTTGGGGCACATGTTGCCCTTGACCTAATTTCATATGGGGTAGTAACACAGGGAAAGAGAACACTATGCAATCCTTCAGTGTTTCTAGTTTTGTCCATCACTGACTGTCTTCCTTTTGACTATTCCAATGGGTCAGTGGCCCTTCATTGGCTCCATATCCTAGCTATGCAAAGACAGGAATAAAGTTTGTCTTCTCTTTTGGACAAAAGCATAGCCATACTTCCATTAACTACAGACCCCTTAGGATATGGCCTTTGCATCCCTAAATTGCACAGAATGGTACAAATTATTAAAGGACAAACTAAAATCTTGCTTTGTTGGAAGTTGCTGTTAAAAATTTCTTAAATTACATACTAATTGACGTGTGTGTGCTTTCACTACTGCTTATTCCAGAATTACTTCTACCTAAGTTGAATGTCTGTCTAGAGCTACATCTTAGATCTTTACAGAGGTTTTCTAAAGCAGTTGCTTGTTTGAAATACTATTGGGAGCAGCTTATCAGATCCTGGCAAGGGGAATATGGTGCTTATTCAGAAAGTTTTGGCATTTATTTTGGTTTTAGCCTAAAACCGACTTCTGAGGAAACCATCAGCAATTTAGCTTTTTTGGACAATCCATTAGAGAAGTTAGGAGATCATAGAATAGTACAGTTTGAAGGGGCCAGTAAGGCCACTGAATCCAGTCCCCTGCATAGTGTAAAAAGTATATCTAACAGATGGCTATCCAGTGGGATCTCAGATGCCACCAGTGTGGGGGTGCCCCTTACCTGCCTAGGTAATTGGAGTAAAACCTCATGTACCCAGTTTGCACTGCTTCAGTTTATTGTCTGTGTTCTACTATTGCTATAGATCCCATACTTTAGTTGACAAAGTGTTTTTCCTTACAGGGCAAAGACAGCACTCCAGCAGTATCTTGCATGATGAAAGACAAGCTGAACTTTCGTACAACTCTCAAAGCTATATAATAAGGAATAACGGGAAATAGCCGCACCTAATTCCTTATCTTTTGCACAAGGCACCTTGGGCTGCATTTTTCTCAGGTGCAGGGAGCTGCTTGGCAGGAGCAGTTTAAGTGATCAGGTCTCCGATGCACTTGAGGACTTTATTGAGGTAGTTCCTTGACTCAGAGGACTATTCTGAGATTTTTTTTCCTGAACTACCTGAACTCTACTAGAACAATCAATCATCTTTTTCCTTTGGGCCTACAATTTTCTGCTTATATTGCAGCCACTGTAAGGCTGTGTCTGGGTGGGCATGATACCTCAAAGCTTTTGTTTTCCTTTTTGTGTTTTTTCTACAGATTTTCAAGGATTAACCATTCTTTGCTGTATGAAAACTTTAAAGAATTATATACGATTTGGATTGAAATGTTATTTAAAAACAGTTTTGTCCCATGAAGTTTATTTTGATCAGATGAATGTTTTTAAGTAAAATATATGCATTTGTTAAACCTCAGCTTAATGTACCTGTACTTCCTCTTTTGAAACAAAATGACATCTACATGACCAGTAGTACATGTAATGTGACTAAAGCAAATCTTCTACTGCCATGTGTTACTAGCTCCAATTCCCTGGACATGGGACAAAACATTCAAACTACCCAAGTGGAGTCTTCTAAGTACACTTTAGATTATACCAAGATTAAACTGTGGAAACCATACCTGCTGAGTTTACCCAGCAAGGAAATTATAGTTCCCTGTGCCAGTGCCACTGCTGCCTCAGAGAAATTACACTTGTTATAAAACTTTGCATTGTTCTTACTTGACTTGAACCTGTGATAATGGATTGATTGAAGTAAAACAAAACCCTCACTACTGGTAGTTGGAACCACACAGTGGTAAATTTCAGAGGAGAACCCCATCGAAGATCTAGGTTCAGATCAAATGCCAATACATAGCTTTGGTATTCTTGCAGAAGTATATAATGGTAAGGCTAAATATTTTTTTGCAGCAGAAGAAAACAAGTATGAAGTTTTGATTCTGCAAAAGACGAGATAAACTTCTGAAATTCAACAAAGCCTCAAGCCTTTTCACTCACCAAGTAGATTTTCTGTGGGTTCAACCCACAGATGTTTGTGTCAAGGGACAGGAGCATCAGGCAGAAGCTGAGTGTCTCACCTAATTCACCAGCTTTCATAATCCCAGAATTGTATTTATAATGGATAAACAGGCACATACATAGGGACATGACACTGATTCTGTCACTGCAAAGATTGGAGTTTGAGCCTCTGGTCGGAACTGTTAATGAGCTGGAGGGAGGTGGTAAAATAAAACCAGAGTTTTTATATATGGTTTTAATGTATTCTTTTATGCTAAAAGGGAAGTAATAGTGATTCAGGGATTGTAGTAAGTGATGTCATTTCTCAGTGTCATTGCTACAGACTCATTGGGATTGGACTTCTGCAGGTTTGAGCAGTGTACCCACTTGCTAACTAGTACCTCAGAAATAAGAAGCCTTAGTTAAGTCATTATAGTGATTGTAGCCTTAATAATACTGAGAAAAATTGCTTCCTTTGTTCAAATCCACTCCCCAGGAAGAAGGGGTGGGAAGAGGGAGGGCTTCCTTAGCCTGGCTGCTGCTTTTGCACTCTGGATTATTATTACACATGCATTTCCAATGTTGTTGTCATTTCTCCATCATCCATATGCATATCCATTTACTTTGAAATATTGATATGCCTAAAACTGTGTTGAATAGAGCTGAGATGTGCAAATTTTCATTTTCACACTTGGAGGTTGCTTTTTAATGGAGTGGCCCTATATGTACAAGAAGGTTATAAACTGTGCTAAGACAATCTGGATAATGTTTGGGGAAAGGTTGGTTAAATATTAGGATGGTAGGTGATAATGAAGTGGCATTTTGCACTCAGTGAAGCATTGTGAATACTTTTTGATGTTGCTATAAATATGTACAAATAGAAAAACACTGTAAATAAAAATGACCTTTTACTGGAGAACATATTTAAAATGGTTTGGCCCCATTAATATTTTCTCCTTCTTGATGGAAAGGCTATACTGTAAGCATTTTAAGCTTAGGAATCATTTTTTTAAAAAAGAAAGAATGTAAAATTTAGGTCTGTGGAGAACTAGTTACACCCTTGTAGAAGAAACTGTTGTCTGAGACTAAGAAATTAACAAGTTTATCTTCTCAGATTTTTTCCAAATGTCAAGGTGATTTGAACTGTGGAACTCTGCAAATTGTAAAGGTTCAGAAAATGCTAACTTTCAATTATAAAAGTTTTGTCTAATTCTTATGGTGGCTCAGAAAAGCTAGGGATCAGCTGTAGTATAAAATCTATTCAAGAGCATAAGTGTTTATATTTTCAGGGGTTGATTAGAGTGTTAAATGTTTGGGAATGTGATCACTACAATAGATAAAAGAACAGAGTTGGTTCCATTTGGAAAGATTTTTCATGCTCTTTCTTTCTGATGTATATGACACATTATTTGCTATATGTCCCCTGCTGCTAATTAGAGTTTAGCAGCAATCCTATGATCTCTAGACAGTGTCTGGGAACTCATAGGCTTGCCTGGAGTTCCCCTTTTGATGTAGAAGACGGCGCTCCAATCTCAGAAGGAGGAGTTGAAGATCTAACCCTCCTCTCTTTTGCAGCTGGTGTGGAAAGAACCATGCTAGATGGCCTCCAAGATCAGGAACTTGACCTCAAAGAAGGTAGAAATGAGGGTGCTTTGGAGTGAGGGAGAGTGGAGAGGCCAGGGTATGAGGCTACCCTGAGCCTCTATTGATCTCCTCCCTCCACCTCCTTTTAAACCGCAGGGACAAAAACCCTTCTATCAAAAAATGCCAAGCAGGAAGACATAGCATAAGAGATTAGACCAATGGTCTCTCTAGTCCAACATTGTGTTCTCATAGTGGCCAACCAGCTGCTCACAAGATCCCAAAGTGGTTTATGAGTGCAACAGCCCTCTCCTGCTCGAATTTCCTAGCAACTTGTGTATATAGGCCTCCGATACCAGAGGTAGCATGTAGCTATCAAGATTCAAGTCACTGATCACCTTCATGAATTTGTCCAAACCCCTTTGAAAGCCATCAGAATTGGAAGCCATCAGTACATAATGAATTCCATATTTTAACTATGCTGTGTGTGAAGATCTGCTCCTTCTGCTTTGCATAGGATGTTCATAAGCCTCTGAGTCATCATGGGTACAATCAATAGCCTAGTGCAGGGGTCGGCAACCCTCGGCTCCGGAGCTGTATGTGGCTCTTGATTCCCTCTGCTGCGGCTCCATCGCTCAAAATATGCGTCACAGCCGCCGTTCTGCAACCTGCGCCGGCACAGGTGCTGATCTGTGACACGTGCCGGCACGGCTGCCAATCTGCAACCCACGGCAATTTACTGAGCTTTTTCCCCCGGTAGGCCACCCATGGATAAATCGAAGAAAAGTTTCTGAAGAAAACCGAACGTTTAATGGTATGTGGGTAGATTAGTTTGCTTTTATTGCTGACGAACTTATGGGGATTGCTGTTTAATGCATGCAGCCCTTTAGCACTGACTTTGCAGGAAGCTGTTCTCCTATTCAAAATATATGAAAGGAGTCCTACTAGTTTATAATGTAAGATTAAAAATAACAGTTTTTAGTGACTGAACAAGAGCTGCAGCTAATTCATGATGAAGATATAGATCTACTTCCTTGTTTTAAGAAGAGTTATAAAAATTGCAGCAACATTATTACATTGGGGGAGGGATGTTTGCTCAATATTTCACTAGACTATTATTTATATTTGTTGTATTGCAGTTAATCCTTTTTAAATTCAGGTTGACAGCTGACTGCACCCTCCAGAACACATGATAAAAGGATGAGGGCACACAGAAGCAGATGGCATTTTTGGTTTGCTGCAGGTGGATAATTTAAGTTCAACTTTTTATTTCATAAATATGAGGAGGACTCAGATAGACATTGAGTATTTTATTTGAAAGTAACTTTCAACCCAGCGTCTTTTTTTTCCGAGTTCAAAATGTTTTTGTTGCATGCAGGAATAAAAATTTGTTTTCTCTCTAGCAGTTCATTGATTTCATAAATGCAACACACTATAGTTTTTTTATACATAGCATAAAGGTAAAAATATATGCAGTGTTACCTTCATTTTGGATGTCAAAAGGGTTTTGCGGCTCCCAGTGTTTTCAGTGGGAAACAGGTCCAAATGGCTCTTTGAGTGTTGAAGGCTGCCGACCCCTGGCCTAGTGCCTTTAGATTTTTTTCCCCCTCTGTCTTTGACTTAAGCTTAGTGAATAACTTGCAACTGATCAAGTGATGTATCTTAACTGTTTTATTAAGGAAAACATTTTGATTTTTAAAATTTTAGGAAGTGGAAGTGATCCAAAATCTTCTGGTCTATAGCTTACCTCCTGGGAGATAACTTTTAATCTCAACTGAATTGGAAACTTTAAACTGTAGTTTGAAGATCGTGTTACAAGCCAGGAACAGAAGTGATTAAGATAGTTGTGTCCATTGCAGAGGCTGATATCCAGTTGGAGGACTAGTAGAATAAAGTGACCAAAATCTTTTGCCAAGGGAAGGAAGCTGATCTGAAGGTAAATATATTCCTGTCTTCAAGTGTAGGCCTAGGATACTGGCACTCAATTAGGTCCCTTTTTCAGAATATGCCCCAAAGTAAATGGCCTGCTAGGATATGTTCACTACACCCAATAGACTTGTGACCATTAATTTCATTTAGCAAATTTAGAAACCAAGGCATGTTACAGAAAAAGTTCAATATTTAAAATTCTGTCAAGTATTTAAAAATACATATATGCAGTAGCCTAAAACCATCATATCTAACTATCCCAAACAGAAGTTCTAAATGTTAAGAAAGTCAATTATAAAAACAGGTCATGAAGATGCTTATAAGTAGTTTATACACAGATCCTCCTCTATAAAGGCTTGTTCATAATTGCCGTAAAAAGAAGTTAGCATGACTTATTTTACATAGTACCTGAGAATAAAATAAGCTTAATTTTATTTAATTCAAATAGTGGTTAATGTAAATAGTGGTTTCTGTTAAATTTCTCTTGGGAGAACGACTTCCCTTTGTTTTTCAGCCTTCAAAGTAAACTTGCAAAACAGGAAATGAGTGAAACATGTGAGTACACTTTAGGTCAGGACATTTTACCTTTTGGCTCACTTTGAATAGTTCTAACAGTCCAGGAAATGCCCAAATATGTTTTTGTCCTTAACTGCTAGATTTTGTTTGTCCATTCAAACTAATTCATAACTGTAATACAAGATTGGGTCTCTGTTTATTTTTCAGAATATATATAACAAGAATGCAATTCTGTATCAGAAGTTAAAAGTAACTACACTCTGCTTATGGTAAAGTGCATTAATATTACATATTATAATATTATAGATATATTAGAAACCATGAGTGGTAAACAGTTGATATGCTGCTAATAAAGTCAGCACTTAAGCTCCCTAGGAACACACTGGAAATCAATGGAAGCAAAAGAAATGCATTGGAGTAGTTCCATTTCCTCTTGAATGGCATCAGTACTTTATGTCAGAATCACAACCCATAAAACTGATTCTGAAGAAGGCAGAGGGATGAGACTTCGCTTTGTAAAGCCTACGTTGATCTAAGGCCCACCTTGATCTTTTTTTGTAGCTAACATCCAATCTATTACCAGTAGGCTAGAGTTAAACTGGTACCTTCTGGTGGTTAAAAGTGGTATGATCGACCCATTGATGCATGTGAATTGTGGAGTTGTTTTTTGTAGCCCTTTAAAAAGATCACTTTTAAAACTGATTAAATGAAAGTATACCCACAGCATGAAAAATTCTGGCTGTCATACCACCTTCACCTCCCTGGAAACTACTCTCTGTTTCTAGTCATGATATAGGCTTCTTTCTCTTAAGGCCTTTCCATACAATTGAGAATAAATTACATAATTTATTTGATTGCTATTATCAAGATAGCACTTCTGTTGTGGAGCAACAGCATTTTTCTAGCATAGTACTTTGATACTACAAAATTGCAGTTCCTCTTCCAGCTAGCATTCTATAGTGAATTTTCTCTGCAATACAGCATGAATGATGCGTACTTCAAAATTGCCATTCGTTGCCATTTTTTACCCATCTACCCCAAGCTTATATAGTTGCCATAGATTTAAGAACACAAGATTGCAACAACCATGCTGAATCAGACCAAAGGTCTATCAAATCCAGCGTCCTGTTCTGTTCAGCCAGCTGCCTGTGGGGGAAGCCACAAGCAGAATGTGAGTACAACAGCACCCTTCCCACCTATCCTTCCCAACAACTAGTGCACGTAGGCATACTTGCTCTAATGCTAAAAGTAGCCATCAGAGCAAGTACTCCTTGAGAGCTATACATCTATCAAATTTCCTTTTAAAGCTATCCAAATTGGTGGCCATTGCTACATTTTGCAGCAACAAATTCCATAATTTAACAATATGCTGTATGAAGAAGTACTTGAATCTCCTACCAATCATTTTATAGTATGACCCACATGCTAATATCAGGGAGAAAATCTACTGTAGAAGCTAACGAGTAGAAGCTAATACCTACTCATCCATTCTCTCCACACCATGCATATTTTTGTATACTTCACTAGCCTTTTCTCTGTTAAACAGTCCAGAAACTATAACCTTTCCTTATAGCAGAGTTGTTCCACTTGCACAGTCATTTTAACTGCTCCTTTTCAGCTCTTTTTTGGTGCAATAACCAGAATTGTACACATTATTCCAAGTGTACTCACACAATAGACTTGAATAAGGAAAGTTTTATTTTGGCAAATTCTATTTTCAGTTCCTTTTCTAATTATGCATAATGTTGTCCTTTTTAATAGCTGCACACTGATTTGACATTTCATTGGGTTAACCACCACAATCTCAAGTTCTCCTGGTCTCTGTGTATCACATGCATGGGCTCTGCACACATGCGTGGAGCTCATGTGGGAAGTTTCAAAAGCTGATTAATTAGTATTCAGTGGGAGCCTGGCACTAGGCCTGCCCATAGGGCATGGAAGGACTCCCCCCAAGACTTCAGTTCTTTTTCAACCAACACTTGTTTTGTGATTATAAATCTGTAAGAGGACCTTTTCTCTTAATTCCTGACTGCTGTGTTTGCTCAGTACTTTTTAGGGAGGGGAATTTCATTTTTATATACCACCTGTTGAGTCATATTCCAAGAGAAGTTTACAAAAATAATCTTCTGTACTATTGGTGTGAAAGTTCTGTGTTTCAGAGATGTGTGTCCCTTTATCCTGGCATCTTCTGGTGTTAAGAAGAAAGTGGCAGAAGCTGACATGGAACAGCAAGAGTAAGCCACCAACTCATTCAAGCTTCTTCATTGCCTGGGTATAACTCTGACAAGATGGTGGGAGATGCTGGGCAGAAACGTTCATCATTGTACTTGTCCATTTTGCCCTGTTGCTGTTACTCACAGAATGCTAAGCTTGATGCACCATAGATACAACTTGAAAATAGGTACCACTTATAGAAGTGTTCATACAGAGTTAATTCATACTTCTCAATGCCACTGCCTAGATCCAGAAGAGGTGAAAACAAGGTTCCAACAGCAGAAGTGGAATTGAGAAAACTGGGAAGATTTGTGTGTGAAAGGTAGCATGCTTAGCCTCTGTCACCTGCATGCTGTTAGAAGCTCATGTGAATATGGGCATGCATATACCAACTTGGGTAATGAACCATGCATAAAAATCAAAGGAAGTGGCAGGAGCATAGCAAATCCCCAGGTTTATGAGGATGGCTTGCATATGGATGTTACATTATGTTGGTGTGCACAGAATAATAGGCAATGAAAACAGATTTTATTGTTGAACCGTAAGCTAGTTATGAAAACACCATGCAATGCAGAAAAGGAATTTGGGGTTCAGTTGTAGAAGTAGAAAGGCCTTCAGATTGTGAGGCAATATTTTTACTGTCAGCTCTTTCTGACTGTCCTACTAACTCTGAAAGATGACATAATGAATCAATAAGCTGGAAAAAATACTAGCCCATACTGAACAAAGCAAATAGGAAGAGTGAGGGCAGGAAGAACATAGGACCCAAATTCTCTTTAATAATGAGGTGGAGTTTCATAGCTTGGTCTTGAGACAGTGTTGGAGAGCATCTTCCAGGGCATGGAGAATTCTGTCAACATTGAATTTAGTAGAGTTGTAGCCCATCAATCCTATTCGAAGAACCTGGCAGAAAATACCAAACAGTAGACTAGCAAATGTTCTATAACTATTGGAAAACCCCTAGACAGCCCCTTCTCTTGTTTGTACTTGTAAAGGGGAAAGACCATTTTTACTTATGAAGCTCTTTTATTCTGTAATCTGCATTCAAATACTGAATTCAATTGGTCTTGTAGATTAATAAGACCATTGGGTTGGTAATTGCACATCTAGATTTCTTCCTTCACACAGAAAACACACACACTAGGGAAAAGACTATTCTAATTAGCATGGTTTTTTTAATGGACAGAGAATTTTGAAGACGTTAATTTGTAGCCTGTACCCTATTACCAAGTTTAATATAATTGAACTATATAGTTAGGAATAGCATAGTAATGGAGTAATGCAAGATATATAAAGCTCTGTTCTTCATCTGTTAGAAATCAACCAAACCTACGAAATCAGAAATATCTTACATGTTTTATTATTCCTTGCCATGAATTTGTATTTACCTTGCCTGCTGAAGCACCTAGGCCTCCTGAAATCTCAATCCCATGATTTTTCATAATATATTCTGTAATATCCTTCCAGTCATATCCCTTAGGTATAAAGAGAGTGGTCACTGTTGGAAGTCTTGCATCCTAAAATGGAAAAGATTGATCAGAACTAGTTAAGTGGTTTCTGGATTTGTATAAATTATTAGCTATGTCCAGGATTTGTAGGAAGCTGCTCAGTCTGTCTTAATGGTTTACCCTCCTTATGTTTTTCATGTTTTGTCAATGGAGAGACCCTCCCATTGAAATGGCCAGCTAATTTACAGTAGAAGCTAGTGAACAACTATTGGTTCTTTCAACTTGTAATGTGTAATGATAGAGTTACATTTTGAAAGCTGACTTTCAGGAAATTTTATATTCCATCTTGCACACAGATCTTTGTCTTATGATTTCTTCTGGTCAAAAAGGATTTGAAACTGTACAGGCCTGTTTACCAGAGCTAAACATGGGTGAGTGCTCCTATCACAAGAACTATCCCTGTTACAAAACTGCTTACAACTGGAAACACTGTTGTCTATCTCCAGCTTAAGGTCATAGGCTGAAGTTGGTAGGAACTAAGTGTCTGCAATATGGCTCTAGTTTTGATTTCTTCTCTTTCTTTTCTATTTATATTCCTGGCTCATTATATTGATGATTAGTTTGGCCTACTTCTATATCCATAATTATATTTTCAGTCCTACCAGTTCTTTCACAAAGAGTTGAAGGCCTAACTTCTGTAGTCCTGCACACAGGTACACGCTGTTCTCCTTATGACGTTTCCAGAAGTTCTCTAGTCCCTGTGCAGAAATAAACACATTATAGAAATAAATGCATTACCTTATAGGGGCAATAAAGCATCCTTTCAAATTCAATACTATTACATGTAGATATCACTGGTATGTACTAGTTTATTCCATGGATCAACACTTTTTACCTCAGGAATCTCAGCTGAGTTAACGGCAATGGATATTGGCTTTACCAGCTCTTTGATAATTTAATAGCAAAGAATGGTTCAAACGCAATATGATACTTTTTTCAGTTTCTTATCATCCACATTGAAAAAAGGATGTACTCATGGCACCTTCCTTATTAGTCTCAGAAAATCCAAGGATGGACCTCAGAAGTGAACTCAGAATCAGCTGTCAAGATTCCTCATTCTTTTTCCAATTTAGAAAACATGCCATTTTTCTGTTAGCTCCTTCTGTGAATACAAAGTTGTTTCAGATATTATACAGCAAGTTTTTCATTCTTCCAGTAATATACAAAGGGAAGACTTGCAGTCCTAAACAAGTTGGACTCATCTGCTGGGGAGGCCTACTTGGTTGTGCAGGATCTGTATGTGTCAGTTGTATATTTAGGAACACATCAACTCGATCATGTTTTACTGCGGGTGTAACCCCTATGAAATATGGTTCAACCCAAAGGGGTGGAATTAAGAAAGGGTGGAGCTGTAAGAAATTCAAATCTTAAAGAGCAGGGAAGCTGAAGAAGCAGGACCTGCTCTTGCCACTAAGGCCCTTCCCAACTTGGCCTGGGTAAAATTCCTATATGTTTGTGTTGGGGGTGAATACACATAATGAATTCATGTATATACAACTGAATTGGCATTTTATTCCAGGGTTTTGAGGATTCTGCACATGCAGCTGACTTTTCTGTGTTCAGACGAGGTGAAGAGGACATTTTGGATTCCTTTGTTTGTGTTGTATTCAAAAGGACATTTGAACTTTGAAACTCTACAGCCACTTTTATTTGTACTGGTACTGTTGCCAGAGACTTAGGTTCATGGGTTGTAGTATTTTGTAATTATGTATTATAATTGTTCAAGCTGTTTTGTTATAAAAAAATTTGATAGGAAGAGGTTCATTTTGTCTGTTGGGTTGTGTTGCAATGTTCATTAGGAAGCAAATAGCCCCATAGAATCTACTAGTGTTACAAAATTGGCGTCCAAGGTTGCCTCCTGAACTAGATAACTTGGATTTGACTGGTCAAAAGCAAGTCTTCAAAGCGGCCATTCTAGGGTGTGTTGTCATGGCAATCATGATAGTTACATGATGTCTGAAGGAGTTAAAAAATTTCTAAATAAGCACCAGGAACAGCTTGATTATCAGTAACTTTTCTTCATTTTCTATATCCCACCCCATCTTCAAACTATAGGCTTTCCACTTTAGTATAATGACTGACCTTTTCTGCAAGAATTGCCAAGGCTTCTCGCAGACAGAAAAATGTGTTGATAGGTGCAGTATGATGATATCTGTAAAAACAAAATACATATGAGCTGCTCAGTTTGCACGCACCAGAATCTCTAGTATAATCTACCATTCTAAGTATCAACTTCCATCCCAAAACAAGATAGGAGGAGGGAGGGAGCCAAGAAGTGAGGAACTGTTGCACCATTCTTTTTTCAAGGCTAAAATACTGTTTTAAATTGGATGTTGCCCTCTGTTCCTTTGCTCTCAGTTGCATAACTTAATATGCCCAGACTTGTATTTTAATGCAAAAGAAAAGAAAAAAGAAAAGAAAGCCTGAACAAATTGAATGGAAACTGTGACAGATGGGAGTAGCTGCTCTTCCCTTTCCTGACATTTGCCCATTCAAATCTCTCCCCACCCCACCAGTTTCCCAGACAATTGATGCAATTTAAGTCTCAGTTGGGAAAATGTCGGTGCACAAATACACGTAGCACAATAGTGCTTAGTCCATTTCTGGAGAACCAAGGAGCCACTTTTCAGATTCAAAGATTAAAACGCTATATGATCAGCCCTTACTTTCTTGGGTTATCATCACAGCCCCAGTATTTAGCCAGCTCTTCCATATCCAGATAGAAGGAGATTGGTTTTGTCTTCCTACTGGAAATCTTCTTCCTGACAAAAAGAAAAGGTAAATATTGGGCACTGCAAGAACTCCACTTCCAAAGTACAGCTGTCATGTGTCATTTTGTCCCATATTTGTGCTCTAAACCTCATATTTGAATATCACTAGAGGCCACTTACCAGGGTGTGGCAACGATTTGTTGCCCAATCCTATAAGGGCTGAATCTGAATGAGAAAAGTGCTATGAATATGAAGAAACAACTGTGGCATTGGCAAGAAATTACCCTACTGTATACCATTTGTTACCACACATTATCTCAATGGTAGCAGTAGAAGGAAAGCTGCTTTTGATGAGTGGGGCATGGCAATTCATGCGTGAGGGTGGGGGTGCCTCACAGGAACACTTCGAGTTTAATGTAAATTGTTGTGGTTTTTCAGGGTTTTTAGCACTGCTCAGCATTGTTTACTTCCATATTGCGATCCAGCCCAAGTTCAGACATTTTCTGCACTTCCAAATCAGCCAGCAGGCTTTTCAGTTCTGCGTCCTGCCCTTTGGGTTAGCCACGGCCCCACGCGTATTCACCAAATGCGTGGCGGTCGTTTGTGCCCACCTCAGGCTCCAGGGGATTCAGGTTTTTCCCTACCTGGATGACTGACTCCTCATGGCCCCTTCCAGGGAGGATGTACTACGCGGTGTGTCCCTGACACGCCGTCCCCTTCAGGACCTGGGGCTTCTTATGAACCATGACAAATCTGTTCTCTCCCCTTACACAGTCTATACTCTTCATAGGGGCTTGCCTGGACACCACCCTCGCCAAAGCCTTTCTTCCACAGCCATGGGCAGAGGCCATTGCCACCCTGGCCACTACCGTCAGGGCCACACCTCTCCGCACTGCCCACACCATCCAGAAGCTGCTGGGCCTCATGGCCGCCACAGGGGCGGTGCTTCAGCTGACAAGGCTTCACATGAGACCTCTTCAGCTGTGGTTCATGAGAGCCTTCGTGTGGGATGAAGACCCTCACACAACCCACCTGACCCCCCCCCCCAGGTGGTCAGGGAGTCCCTACTATGGTGGTGCACCATGGACAATCTTACCATGGGCATCCCCTTCCTCCCCCCCAGCCCTCTGTGACCATCACCACTGATGCCTCCAACACCGGCTGGGGTGGTCACTGTGCAGACATGCGTGCTCTAGGCCACTGGGGGTCTCTCCCCCTCCTCCATTAGGGTTCACCTAGTGGCCATCTCCCACTTCCACCACCCCCCATACAAGGATCCTCTGTATTTGCCCACCCCCTGGCACGCCGCTTCCTCAGGGGCCTCTGCAACCTTGCCCCACCAAGCCGGCCCCACTCCCCCTCTTGGAGCATCTCTGTAGTCCTGCAGACCCTCATAAAGAGGCCCTTCGAAGCTATGGCCACAACGGACCTTAGGCTCCTGTCCTGGAAGACTGCTTTCCTGGTGGCCATCACATCAGCCCGACATGCCAGTGAGCTAGCAGCCCTTTGGATCAACGCTCCCTTCACGACGTTCCACAGGGACAAGGTTGTACTTCATCCAGACCCAAGCTTCATCCGAAAGGTGACATCTTCGTTTCACCTGAACCAGGACATCATCCTGCCCGCCTTCTTCCCCAACCCATTCACCCCCATTGAGGCCACCCTTTGCAGGTTTTCCAGACCTGGTGCCCAAACAATTATAATATTTGTATAATAATTAATGTATAATTATTTTATAATTGTATATTATTACTGATATTATTCCCAAACACCATATCCCAGCCACCTTCTGTGCTTTTGACTCAAATCCAATGTCTTTAGGAGGAAAATAAATTACCCATTGCTATCTCAATGGATATATTATCCCAGAAGGAATGGCAGCTAACATCCTGCTGAAAATAACATATATAACATCTATTCTTACCTGGCTCTTTCGCTGAAAGAGATAGGAGAAGCACCAGGTGGTGCACTTAAGACTTTTTGGGAACCAGAGTAGAGAATGTCAATTCCTGTGTGTTCAATAAAGAAACAACCTTTTAAGAATTCACTTTAATAATAGTTGCCCACAAACGATGTTTCCCATGGAGGAGTAACCTGGGCCTTGTTTTTTTTTTGTCACTGTCTAATTCTGCATTTTGGCTGTCTTCTACTAACTCTGGTTTTCTTTTGTAAAGGTGTATAGTTTTCAGAAATTGCAAAGTGAAGATGTTTTCAAGGAATTAGAATTCCACAATTTTTTAAGACAGCTTTGTGGGACATAGCACTATTACACATTTTAACTGCTTTAGGGACAATCCTATACATGTTTAGAGAGGGAGACAAATCCTACAATTCCCAGAATCCCCTGGCTGGGAAACACTGATACTTGAAGATCTTTTTACATCTACCCATGGATAGGATTGTAACTTTAGAGGTCATTCTTCTAAAGAAATGTTGAACATTTCTAACAGCATGGCAAAAATGGCACTTCCCTGGATTCTTCTGGAAAAACCATTGCAGTTAAAGTGGTCTAAAACCAACATAAGTCTAGTAAATATGGTGCATGAGACTACTATAGCATAGAATCTTCTGTTTCATCTATTCCTAAAGTACAAACCTGATCCTAGACCAAGGAGGTGGGGCATTAGTTTCAGATTTGCCTACCAGCCCTTTATAGGCCATAATATCAGAACACAGAATCATCTGAAGAAGAAAAAATGTTTGCATTCTCCTGCTAGTGTTACTATGCAGTTATAGAAGCCCACACTGAAACTATGTTTTCAGCAAATGTACATTTATTTTCTAGCATGAGCCTTCTCCAGGAGCAGATAGCCAAGCAAATCTCATTTAAAACTTCCCAGTTGGTATCCATTTCTACATAATTCCATTTTGTACAAACCATAACATTATAAAATGATGTCAAATATCCATATTACCATAACAGGTTGAAACATGTTGCTCACCTTGCTGGTCCATGAGAATTGGAGTGCCACCAAGGGATGCCACAGCATCTACTAGTAATAAACAATTATGCCTAAAACAAGGAAAGAACAGATTGGTTTTCTACGTGACCTTGTTCATCCATTGATTTACTTTTGGGTTTTTCCTACATGAAGCATATACTGTGCACTCATCATTCTCTATTCCAGTTCTGCTTCTGTGCCTAAGAAGCACTAATGGCTTTTTAAAAAAACCGTAGAGAAAATGCAGCAAATGTGAAAGCAACGGCATTTCCTCTTGGAAACTGCACATGCTACCTGTGATGAAACTAAAAGTGGATACAAGGGTTTAATACCTAATTAACAGCTTTGTGTAGGGAAGTTATTGATTTCAACACAGAACACAGATGTGAGCAGCACACTAGGAGCAGTTCCTTTCCTGCTTTCCTGCTCGAAAACCTCTAGGTGGCACTGTAGCATAGTAGGATAGTACAAATGCATAAGAGGAAATTGTGCTTCCATTCACAATTTACAGTTTTACATTGTCCTGTTCTAAAAACATGTGGAAAGTGCTGTTTGGATATAGGAACAAAACTGGAAGATCATGATGTCATCTAAAGAACATGTAAACAATCATGAGTGGGGAATGATGAGCACATGATAATTCCATGTGAAGAAAACCCCAGAGACTGGAAATATAATCCTATACTATACTGGACATAATCACAGGATCGTGCTACTCAGAACACCTTATATATTATGTGGAGCTCCTTGCTTTTGGAGGAGGAGGATTTTGACTCAAAGCAGCCTACTGCATACTTAATATCTGAATGGTAGAAGGATAGTGCTAGAAGGCTAGAAGTTATTCTCTTTCAGTTGTTGTTGGGTTTGGGGTTTGGGTTTTTTTTTTTTTTTTTTGGTTCAAAATCTTCAACTGTTTTTCCCCTCATGGAACTCAATATATAAGATTTTCCATGTTTTTCTTTTCTGAAAGTGAAAAGGCAACTTGAAGATATTAGAAGCTGATTAAGTTGAGGTAGGGGATTGTGCAAGGAAAAGTAATGGGATGAAAAAGACTTTCAGAGCCTCTCAAATGACCTGTCTTTCACCACTCAGCCTTGCAACCTATCTGACAGCTTTAGGTTTTATAGTATTTCACAAGCAAAATAAAAATGGGATCTCATGGGACAAGGAGTTTTAGCCATAGCAAGATAAAATTTTGTTGCTTCCTTGTGTTTGAGTGTATCTTGTTTCATCTGTCACTTTGTTTTCCCAGACCACATTTTTTCAGCAAGACTAAGGTACTCTGATGCTGTACTACAGTTTAGTTTAGTTTAGTTTAGTTTAGTTTTTAGTTTAGTTTAGTTTTGTAGCACTATTGCGTGAATGAAACACATAATATTAGTCAGCCTTCATTGAGTGCAGCACAATTCTTTAGTAAATGATCATTGGCTTTTGGTATCATGCCACAACTGTGTACTTCAGTGAGTTCTTTGTTGGCACTGTTTGCTCAGTTTCTTTATTTCTGTGCCATTTTCAGTAAAGAAATAGCTTTATTGAAAAGTATGTTTGTTGTGGACTTGTAGCATCTATTATAAAAGATCACAATAGTGTATCAGTCAGCTCAGATCACAGCCCTACCATGTTTTCTCTGAAGCAAATGGAGTTTGGTCTCCAGGGCTCCACTGACCTGTGACAAAGGTCTCCAAGGCCATCTAGAGGCTGAACCACTCCAGTAGATGATTCTCCATGTGTGATGAAAAGTAAGAAGGGGGCATGCTCCACCAAACCCTATGAGGCAGCAAGATAAAAAGGAATCATAGTGGCAAAATCCTACTTGTTTGGGAATCAATTTTCGCAATAATTTCCATGAGGAAGACAGAAAACGTAATCTGTTCATTAAATATACTGTATCACTACTCTCAACATACTTTAGCTATGCAGCTCACCCTCTCTATTTCTTCTAGAGTAAAGTACTCTCCGGGGGTCTTTATCAGTTGATGTACTTCAGCTCCTATAAGGTAAAGAATGACAAATCATATTGTTTAAACTTCACCAGAATTGAAATGAAAATCCACGCAAGAAATTGTCATAAAGACTGTAGGAAAGCATTGACATTTATTTGTGTGTGCAATAAATAGACCATTGAGCCCTTCTATAGTTAAGTTGACAGCTGAATGTAACTTAGTGTTCGGCAATAGCAGGGGTTTGGACCTGATGGGCTTCTGGCCCCTTCCAACTATGATTCTAATTATCATGACTTTCACAGTACGCCACAAATTTTGGATGAATTGTCTCATCTCAGTTATCTTCAGTTCCCTATGAATTGAAGCAAGGGACAACTGTGTGTAGCTGAGTAGCTTTTTGGAGGTTTTCAGTGAAGAAGGATGGATTTGGCTGATTGAAAAACAAAACAGGGGACCACATCCATCTTCAGCTGCAGGAACTAACATTAGCCATGTATGTGTGGCTGTGGCTAATAAGGATGCATTTAGGTGCACCCTGAAAAGTTTGGAGAAACATTGAACTAGGATTAATTGCAATCTAGTCACAGGTTGAAGCCTTTAGATTCCTGGTTCAATACACTACAGTAAATGCATGTGGAGTCTTAGCACATTAAAATCATGTAGTTCTCACAACCTTTAAGTTCAAGGGCTGTGGTGGAATAGCATTTCTGCTAGACAGATGGGAAAATTGAATATCCAGTTCTCATTTAATGGCAGATCACAGATAGTTATTTTAGAGAGCTATTGGGGTTTTTGTTTCAAATAAGTCATATATTAACTTAAGTACATAGCAGAAGCCTGTCAAAGTCCATTCAAGTTCCATGGGAACATCCATTGTATAGTACAATTAGTGCAATTAAACACGGGCCAGAAAAAGAGCATTTAATTATTAAGACATCTGATATTGTCTAAAATGAAGTAGCGTTAGATCCAAAGGCAAGTTTGGAACAAAGTCAAATATTTGGTTCAACTATCTCAGTTTCTCCATTGGCCAGTAGTAGCTTTTCAGAGTTTCCAGCTAGAGACTTCCCACTCTATTAGGATCCTGGGAGCTGAACCTGGGGGAATTAATAAAATACCAACCAAGTCAGTTAACCCTTTCAGCTCACATCTCCAGACCTCTTCGTGAAAGCTTGTCTAGCACAAATAGCACGCAAAGCGCACACACATGCGCTCACTCTCTCACTCTGGACTGGGACCTTAATAAAGGCTAAAACCTTATATGACCCCCTGAGACCCTGATCTGAATTGAGCTCCCTGCATCTGAAATGTACTTTTAATTATGTGAATATTTTCTCCTCTGAATACCAGTGATGATACGCTACAGGAAAACAACAAATTAGTATTATCAGTAATTTTATGAAGGTACATTTGATCCATGAATAATTGAGTCACAGTCATCATTAGCCTTAAGAGTACCACAAGACTATTTTTTGTTCATATTGAAAAATTCTAATATGGATAATCATGTAAAATTCATTCTTATCTTGTAGACGTTTTGTTTGGCCCTTGCAGATCCTATGCTGCTTAAGTTTCATGGGGTTTCATGCATTCGTGTGTACACACCTCAGCTATGGCACTCAGTCCCATGCCTAGTTAGAAAGCAGTCCTATAGCTCTTAGCATCTCTCAACTTGGTGCCCTCCAGATTCCTTTGACCACAGCTTTGATCATTCCCAGTCAGCTTCGCCATTGGCCATCCAGGCTGGGGAATTATAGGAGTTGTAGTACAATGACCAAGTGGGGGAAGGTTGCTCTAGCTCATTAATGTTTATGCTGCAAAATATTTGTTAGTCTTTAAAATGCCGCAGGACTCTTTACTATTTTTAAACATTTCTGTACATTTGACCAACATCCAAGCCAGCACTTCAGCATGTGTTATTTCCCACCCAGATATGAGATGAAATTGTTAATTGTGCTTCCCCTTGTGAAAAGGAGGACAATCAATCAACTCCTGTTGATCAGAAGTCAGGTTTTTTTCCCATTTCTAATTACAGCAGGGTCATGATATCTTTGTGAAGCTATCTAGCTTGGTACAGCCATTTATGTCATTTAAGGTGTAATTCTATGCACGCTTAGACAGAAAAAAGGCTGGTTGGGGTGTGCTGGGATTTTTAGGATGTTTTTCTTTCTAAACATGCATAGGATTGTGCCTGTACATTAACAGTACATACCACCACCAGTGAGATGGAACCCCATCTTATCCTCCTGTACACAATAAGATTGCAAAGCATATACTTTGACTGCACAGTCCTGTGTACAGTTGTACCTTGGCTCAGGAACTTAATCTGTTCCATGACTCTGGTCATGACTCAAATTGGTCGTGAGCCAAGTCAAATTTCCCCATAAGGTTCAATGTAAATAAGGCTAATCCGTTCTGAAAATATATATATTTTTAATCACAGGGAAGACAGTGCAATCACGGGTGTGTTGGGGGGGGGGGGAGGGGGGGGGTTTGGGGGCGCGCGGGGGGGGGGGATGGGCGCATTCATGGGTGTGCTCAGGGGAAGACAGGTGTGATTTCAGGTGTGCTGGGGGGCAATGAGTACCTTGGTTCATTTGCATTTGCCTAGGGATCTGCTATATTCTCTAATTTGTGAGCAGCTCTGAATGCTGGCTGCCTTGGATCACGGTAGCACAGTTCAAATTCAAGGAATGATGAATTATTCTACTGAAAAAGTGGGAGAATTTGATAACTTCTACTTTTGCATTCTCAGTCTTGAAATATAAACATAAAGCAAAAGGATCCCAAGTCCATACCCAGCCTCTTGGCAATGTCCGTTGCTCGTTCGCCCCAAATTCCATTCACTGCTATCAGCACTTTGTCACCCTGCTCCACTACATTCAGGAAGGCTGCTTCCATGGCACAATGGCCAGTGCCACTGACAGCCAATGTAAGAGGGTTCTGTGTCTGGAATGCATACTGGATTCCCAGTTTGATCTCATCCATTATCTGAGGACAGAAGAGGCAAGGGCAATCAAAGTTAAACAGAACTTTCCCAGGGTTAGCAGTGTGAGTGTAATTGCAAAGGGACATTCACAGGAGAAAGGAGTAACAGTGTGGCACCTAATAAAGTTGTGTGCATATATTTGTTTAGGCAGAAGACAACAACCAGAAGAGGACGAACCAAACCCAAACATGGTCCTGGAATTATGTTACAGTGTTTAGGTTTTGCCTCAGCCTCTACAGTGACCCAACTAGATATGAAGCTCTGCTCTTGATTCTTCATTTTCTTGCATCCCAGAACTTGATGGTTGCTTTTGCTATATTACGCGGAGCAGTAACCATGTTCTTCTGTGAAGGAAAACATTTAAATTCCAAAACTCTGCCTAATTTGAGGAACACAGTGACTAGTTTGTCTGTTATACAGCAGATTTTGGGTCAACACAGAGCTCTCATGATTCCTGACTCCCTCAAACAAAACCGTCCCCAGATAACAGAGCTCAAAAGAAGTTCTCCCAGTTACATAAAGAGGAATGAAAACCAGCAAAGCACAACAACCACAGGGTTTATATATTTAAACAGGGAGGGAGGTTGCCACAAAAAATTACAAATTTATACATGGTTCAAGATTAGAGGAAAGCCTGAAGCTCATGTGGAAACAGTAGAATGAAACCACTTAAAATGAGAGGAAATAAGAAGTCACACTGAAGGAGGCGATATTCTTTATGTTGAATTCCTCTAACTGACTTACGGTTTGAACAACAGATAAATCATTATTATGGAATCTAAACTGCATTGTTTAGTAAAAAGAATTAGTTAGAAATTTATTTTTTTAAAGGAAATGTAAAAATAAAAGAAATGTATTATATTGGTGGCTAATTAAGCAGCCTCTCAGTGTCATGCCTCAGGCCTGGAAAAGCAGCAAATGGTAGGCAGAATTATTTGTTGCAACTGGTTGGGACTGACTTACCTGGATCATTTCTTTGTGCATATGTCCTATGAGCTGTCGACCACCTGCAGACAAGATCCGGGGAGGAGAATTGGACGGCCCAGGGCCCAGCAATAGCCTCTCTGGGACAAACAGTGGCTGTACCAGGAGCGCAGGAGGTGGCATCAATGGTGTATGAGAAGACATGGTGTGGCAACGCCGAGCCAAAACAACAGGCAACTGAACACGAGCCCAGCCTGCTGCCCGCAGCACTAGGAATGCACTGCTCATCCCTGACCTTAAATAGAGGGATTGTAGAGGGCAGGCAAAATCAACAGATCTTAGATAAGATAAATGCTGGAGCACCTCCCTTGTTTCCCTCCTCTGCTGAATAATCTTCCAGTTATTCAAACTCTATTGAGCCCTCTTTGTTCTGACACTGGATTTCAGGCTCCTAGTAAGATGAGCTTGACTTAGAAACTGCAACATATGACTTCCAACCTACTCACTCCTCCTGTTTTGTCCCAGAGAGTTCAGCTTTCTCAAGCCTTTGGCCTCCTTGCCTGAGAATTCTGCACCTGTTAGGGGCTGAAAAGTTAAGTGTAATACAAACAAAGTTCCTCTGGTGATATTTCTCCTTGTTCTTTGGACAATTCCTACAAGGACTTCTTGTTTGTCTGACCTCTATACAATCTGCTTCCCACACATATCAGAAAGAAAATGAACTACTGGACTATTCTGCTGGAATGTGGTTATGTCCTAAATCACTGAACCCAAAATAGTATCCATGAAAGTTTTGTATTCTTCAGTGTAATTGCCAAGCACTGGTCAGTTAAACAATTCTCGGTTAAATGTTTGCCAGGAGCAGCAAATTCTAGATGAATAAAGGGGTTAACAAATAACTGTGCCTGCTAGTTTTCCCCTGCCTCAGCAGGGCCATCCCAACACATTTTCCTGCCTGAAGTGGAACAGCAAAAATGTCTCTTAGATGCATAACTACCTAAAATTGGTCAAGCTATTTTGGTACTTCTACATAAGTGCATAAGTGCCTCCCTGGTAGTAAAATTTTATTTTATTTATTCTACTGTATATATTTTAATTGTTATTGTTTTAATTTATTGTGTATTTTATTCAATGTTGTGAGCCGCCCCGAGGCTTCGGCAAGGGGCGGCATAGAAATGTTTTAATTAAATAAATAAATAAATAAATAAATAAAATGCAATAAAAATAACGTAACCATTTGCTGCCCTTTCAGGACACTCAAAATTAGCTTCCTGAGGTGGGCACCTCTTCCTGCCTAGTGATAGAGCTGGTCCTGCTTGCCTGCTGCGTGAAATTATTCTAGATCCTGAAGAAATCCCTTCCTACACCTAAGAAAGTGGAGTGGTCTTTGTAATATTACAAGATCTTAAGTCTTTCTTACCTTCATTCTTAGGGCACACCTTTGTTTTCACACCATACTTGCTCTTTGTCAGCTTTGGGAGCAAACTGATGACCTTTATTTTGCAGTTCTACCTTTGAGTTATTGGTTTGGAGTACTGACCAGGAGACTCACATGAGAAAGTAGGGTAGGGAGGGCTCTAAGCCTTTGCCCAATAACAGAGCCACAACCTGAATCAGTGCTCCTACCATTTTCAATGGGAAGAAATTGAATAGGATCTTGGATAAATGGACAGACACACACACACACACACACACACAGAGAGAGAGAGAGAGAGAGAGAGAGAGAAGGAATTTGAAAAAAAATTACTTTCAAACTGATGGACATAATTTTAGAATGAATGCCCACTACAATGCAAATTCAGTGCTGTAAACAAATTTGAGGCTGTGTACTGAATCTGCACAGAGTATGACTCTGGAAGGAGTCCAGAGGCCACACGGTTAGCTAATTCACTATGTGGGCACCATACCTAATTCATGGAGACAGAGTTAAACATATTCCTGATCATGTGCTTCAACAACTTCTCTCAGAAAATTGTATTCATGTTCAGTGGAGTTTTAGAGTTTTCAGATACCCAAATGAAACCAAATTCCACCATTATTTTCATGAAGTGAAAGACTTTTACTAGGTGTGAATCTTTTTTCTTACCTGGAAGAATCAGTGAGTAGGTAGAACTGAAAGCTGATTACCTAGAAACACCATACTGTACTAACATGCTGTCATGTCCCCAAATGTAGAATACCTGATTTCATTACTTCTGGTAATGGGGTTCGGTTTGTATGGAGGCTGCAGATGAATGCACACAGCCACTGAAATAAGTACACACAGACATATACTAAGAGCAATTAGTACACAGAGCTGTATTGTTGCTGAACATGGAAGTAAACAGGTAGTTTTGTTCACAGTAGCAAAAGATAATTAATCCAAGACAAACAAAAATCCATTAGTGATTGCAGTGGCATAATGGGTGGGCAAATGGCAGCATCGCCAATTAATTTTCCCTGGGGTAAGTACTACAAAAATGTAAGTTGTGTGTATTGCACAGGATTGGAGTTTAGACATGTTTTAGGTTATCAGTAGAAATAGCCCACTGTAAACATGTCTTATCTTGCTTTCCTCAAGGTCTTGAAATTTTAAAAAACAACAACAAAGGATCCATTTAATCCACAAAGAAGCTGAACAGTAAGTTTTGCAGTACTACAACTTTTCTCTTTACTTAAGTGTTTTCCGGATCACAGCATTTTCTTTTTTGGTGCAATGATTATGGTTTTATTACTGTTGTGCAGTGATGAAGCTGGATTACAATTATGATAGTTTAGAAAGTGCTTTACTAACTGAAGCCAGAAACAAAGGAACACTGAGTACTGAGCTTATGTGCATTCCCATGGAAGTGTCATCCATGCATCAATGAGCCCCCATAGAAGTAAACGGGCCCTGACATGAGAGAACAACATGTGTACATTTTTTATACAAGGAAAACCAGATTCAGATACACTGTAAGAAATGGCACACCAGTAACATTATTTCAGCAACCATTTGGTACACACTCTGTGGGAGATTGTTGTGATGCATGATTCACACAACATGACAAGCGACAGTTTTTTTGTGCAAGGTGATTTGTTGTGTTGTCTGATATCTCAGCATAGTATGTTTGACTTTTAGAAACCACAAACAGAAACAATGAACTGTTCTTCAGTTTCTTAGTACCACAATGGCTTGTTGGGTCATTCAAAGTGAAAGTCAAAACTTCTTTTAGTACCAAGGCCCAAACCATAAAGCTGCTTGGCAAGAGCTGTTCTGTGCAACTGTCAGAGGTCTCCCTGCTCAATCCGACTCTAGCCCTCAAGTCCTCCTTTGGTGCAGGAGTGGACAATCAACTGATTGGTGCTGGGAGAGGAGGCTGCTCTGTTGATCCCCTCTGCCCCTCCCACAAGAACCAAGAGTGTGGCAGCATCTGGTTGGGGGTCGCAGGCTTCCATGGATTCCCCTGTGCAGCCCCTCTCACTCACCAGAGGGAAGCAAGAGGGAAGGGCAGCAGCAGCACTCCCCTGTGAATTCTCCCTTGATGTCCCCTTGCACATGAAAGGAAGAAATGAGAATCAGCTGGCCAGTGGTGCCTTGTTGTGGCTGTGCATTTCAACAGATCCCCCTCTGCCCAGAGGAAAGTACCTCTTGCATGTCAGTGTGTGTGTGTGTGTGTGGGGGGGCAGTAATAAAGAGAAGATAGCACTGTCCCCTTCTCACTACAGCTTGCCAGAGAGAGAAGGGGCGGCAGGGGATCCCCTGAGGTGCACAAGCTGGCACCCAGTTGATTGCTGCTGCAAGACAGGGAGTTCTTGAAGCCACATGTAAACTCCAGAGTCCATATAGTCTGAGGTACCTGATCCTGCCTAATCTTGGAAGCTTAAGCAGGATTAGGCCTGGTTGGTATTTGGATGGGTTACCGGAGTCCTGCATTGAAGAGACCCAATGACCTATTAAACCCCTTCCAAATGTATGATTCTATGGTTGTATCTTTGGATCATGGAAAAGAAAATTGTCACTATCCAAAGACTGCTATGTCAGTGATGTTTAAACCCCATGGGGCAAACTAGGCCAAATAGATTTCAGTCAAGAGCCCACATCTGACAGAGGCTCTAATTCTTTATTCAGACATCCAGGATTTCCTCTGATGCAGGGTTATATAATTTTTATAGTCTTTCATATATTTCTCCTTTGCATTATACATCATGTGATAAAATTTAATAGCATGGCAAATCTCAAATGGTTTGAAATATGTGTTGATTTCTGCATTAAAACAGTGACCCATATCTGACAGAAATGGAGTTCATGATTTTTCAATTATTTCTTCTTGTCGCCTCCCATCACATAACTGCATAAATTAGTAAGTTTATCAAAACCAAACTTCCATATCTTATGGAACCATTTATTGGGAAGAAGCTATTTAGAAGCAATTAGAAGCCTTTGATTTGTAAGTGTCAAACAGTGAAAGACACCTTCCCAGCCTCATTTTATTAGTTCCTTATTTAAACCTGGAGGGTGCCAGGAACTCAGATTCACAGCTGAGGGACAGCTAAGTTTATGCCCAGGGCCTGTTTACTCATGGCTGTTTTTAATGAGATTTTTAGAGTGAACTTAGGAGCAGGCCTTGGCTTACACCTGCACCCACCCTGTAGAGAGGGATTCTGCATTTCAAGATCTCAGTGCCTTTCTTTATAGTGAAGGGAAGGAAGTGTACGAGCCTGGGGGAATTTGAAGACACAGCTGTGAGTGACAGTATCAGTACTCAAGCTCCTGCTCCTATCAATTTTCCCCTGCATAAGGCTGTTTTCCCTCATGGACTCACTTCCAATTTTGGACCCTAAGTAGTAAGGGGGAAAGGGTTTTTTTTAAAGGTACCCTTCCCACTTACCAATCCTTCTTTACCAGTGTTCCCAACCCTTGCAACAATATCATGGAAATATTACAAAGCTGGTTTTCCCTTGTGTCTAAGTTTATTCTAGCACTTTGATGCTGGACTGAAAGTCATTTGGAAAGTCTTCATACCCTTTTGTGTAATGCTGTATTGCAAGCAGTGTGTTACACTAGATCTGATCATGAGATAATTCACAAAAGAAACATTTTGAGATGGAACAGCAAGAGCAAAGAAATCAGAGATCCTTCTGTGTTATCCACATCTTTATTAACCTCATTTACATTAGTAGACAGCAAGACAGAATTATGTTTGAACTTGGTGCCCATCCAAGATTATGACCTCTTTTGTTCTATTGTCACAAATTCTGTGCATATCAGCTGAAATTCAATGGTTGTGAGGCAACATCAGACATTTCTGCTTCTGTTCTCCTTTTGGTTCTACCATGAATGTGAAAGGTGTTATTCCTGTGTGCTTCTCATCCTCCTCTCTTCTTTCTAACCACTCACTTTGTACAATTCCTCTATCCAGACCCAAAGTGTCCCTGGTACTTTGACTTGGCTAGTAGGCTCCTTGTGTTCTCACTCCTCCATTAGTAGTATGGGGAAGAGACTCTTGTGGGTGTCCTTCTTTCAATCAGAAGCAAATCTCCTTTTGGCTTGGGTGCAAATTTCCCATTCATATAAACCAGCCTGCCACGTACAAGAGTTGCAAAGACCTTGCCACAGAGTTGAAAACCCAGATATGGGGTCAGCTAAAGTTGGAGAGAAAGAGAGAGAAAGTAACAATACTGAGAATATGAAACCCAACCTCCTTGGCCCCAAATGTAGTTTACGGTTCTGATCCATCTACAGCAGGTATTCTCTGGAAAGCAAGTCAAGGCAGTGGTTGCAGCACCATGGAAAGCTCCAAAGTGAGGCATTATAGAATTCCTCCATCCGCTTTAGTGCTTCGAACCTCCAGCCCACTTGAAGAATGTGAATCCTTAATCCTCTAGATTGAAGGGCAGTATTTATTTTTTCTGTGGTTTCCCACCTGGTCCACTTTCTTCATTATAGGGCAGGTGCAAAGGAGTTAGACTTACGGGATGCTCTTGACAAATCTTGCTCAGAGCAAGGCATCCAGTAGGATCCTGACTCCTGACCACTAGCTACAGGTTCAGTATCATGAACTCAGCTGGTGGTGCAGGAACCCCAAACATGGCCAGCCCATCCTCCTCTGACATTGAGCTCAAGGTTGGGTCCATGACACAGATTCATACCAGATGTGAATTTACACCTCTCTGCATGTGTATTTGTAATTCTGATACCTATTTGGGCCAGTGTATACATGAATTTGGATGGGCAAACTCTCTGACAAGCAGATGCTTTTAAGATTATGAAAGAACCAATTCATACAAAGAGAATTCTTGATATCCTTCCCTACCATACAAACTAAAACTGGAGATTTCCTGCCTAGCAGTAAAGCCTGCTCTAACTAGAGACCAAAAAGTTCAGTGAATTGTGCAGTAATTTTACAGGAAGTAGCCTGAGGAGGGGGTCAGTGGTGGGAACACTGGGAGAATAGAGAAAACACGAGCATTTCCCATACCTTATGCTTATGATGAATCATATCTTTATTCACCTAAGAGAAGAGAATACATATTAGTTTGGAAATGTTGTTGTGCATTGGAAATTTTTTCTCAAGCTAATATTCTTGTCTCTGTCTTACATCAAAAAGAATGCATCTCTTTCTAAGCTGACCCTTTCCTGGATCTGCTCAAACAAGTTATGAACTATGAGGTCCTTACAGATGAGGAGCTTTCTGTGCAATCACCCTGCCTCAATCATTGCAGTGCTCCCAGGCTCATAGATCACAAAAACTCAAAGAAAAGTTATACCTACACTATTGGTCATCCAAAGCCTGGTTCCATGGGCTGAGAATGATATATGTGAAGACTGTTCAGTTGTTAAGAAGCATAAACAGAGTCCAAAAGTGTTTGGCTGAAATAATTATGATTTTATATTGGAAACTTTCAAGAGTAAGTGATGGATTGGATTCCTCTATCATAAGTCTGGCATATTTAATTCTCCATTTGGTATGGTAATTTGCATATTTTCTAGAATGTTACTCTTTATTAAATTTATATCCTGCTTTCAGTCCTGTCCCAGGCCCCTAACATGATTCTCACAATAAAAAATTACCTATGTCTTCTTCCATCCTTACCTCAAACTCCTTTTCTGGATCCCAGATGACCAGGTCTGCATCCATCCCTGGACTAAGGGACCCCTTCTGGTCCTCCAGTCTGCTCAGAGTAGCAGGATTTTTGCACATCAATTGTACTAGATCATGGAAGGAGAACCCTTTGGATTTTGCAGAGGTCCAAAAAAGAGGAAGACCTGTGTGGCACAGTTAGGGGAAGATCATACTGTTGAGAAGGTTGTTCTTACCTGGTTCATTCCCACAGAAAATTACTTGACATGACTTAGAATTCATAGACTTGAAGATTTGGTAAAGATCTGTAAGAATCAAACAAACTGTTTTTCAAAATGATCCTGCATATATTGTTTGTGTTGCTTTCTTTTACTGGACATACTTGTCAGATTTCCCCCATTTTGTTCCTATGACAACACTGCCACCTTTCTTTGCAAGGACTGGAAATAAACTAAGAGCCGAAGCATATTTGGAGAACTGGACATCCTTGCAGATCATTAAAAACCATTTTAGTTATTTCTAATAAGGATAGTCATAAAACTGGAGGTAGCAAGCATGATCTTAGAAAAAGCATTCTGAATAGTCATTTTAAAATCAATAGTTTGATCTTAAATTAACTCTCCTGAGATGACCCTGCCAATGGAAGGTCTTCTTCCATTGGCAGATGGAACTGGGGCTCAACAGAAACTCCCCACTAGGAGAAGATGGCAGGGTGATCTTTGCTGATTCCTTCTTCTCTTGCAGCTTCCATGGCCATCTCACACACTATTCTGAAGGGTCCCCCAAGCTGCCAGGGAAGTTTTTAAGTGGCAATCAGGGCTGCGGGGAGAAAGAAGGCACTGAAAAATATTTTCCTCCTCCACCCATGGGATCATCCAGGTGATAGAATTTTGCTCCATGAAGCTCTGGATCCAATCCCAATAGTTACTTTAGTTTATGTGGTGAAAAGTAGTGTTGCATATTATCATTTAAATGAAGTGGGATGCTTTGGATCAGGTGTTGGGTATCACATCCTTTGGTGATGGGATCATAGCTCAAAGACAGAACACATGATTTGCCTACAGAAGCTCCCCTATTTTGGCATCTCCAGTAGCAAGATAGCAGCTGATGGGAAAGACCTTCCAGAGATGATGGAGAGCTGCTTCCCATCAGAGCAGATAAAACTGGGCTAGACAGACAAAGCATCTGACCTAGTGTAAGAAAGCAACCTTTAGTCTTCAGCCACAAGAATAATAATTTCCATTCTTAGGATCTGCTTAAGAGATGGAGAAAACAAAAAGAAATACCATAGACAATGATAGTGTAGCTGATAAACATTTTACCAAACTGTAGTGAGGAAATCCCTGCCTGAGCCTTGAGGAAATCTCCACTGTTCAAAACTTTTAAGTCTTGGCAACAAGGAGTATGGGCTGAGACAACCATGTCTATCTCTCCTTCTTGCAAAGCTGCCCACAGTTGTTCCTAGAGATATGAAAGAAGTAAAGGAACAGATTATGTCAAGGAAACATTTTCACAGATTTCTTGGAGCAACATGAAGTAACTAAACTCTTATGGTGTTAGTAAAGTCATCCAGGGCTCACTAATTCTCTGATATTCCTGCAAACAGAAAAGTAACACTAAGCTAACATTTCCTCCTAATGTACCAATGTTTCCTGTGTGACCTTTCAGTCCTAATATAGACCCTCCAATATCAACAGTGGCAGGGCTGCTGCTAATGGCTATTTTCATTGACTTGCTAAGGCAAAAAGGAATAAGCATGGACAGAGAACTGCTTCATGATCTTTATCTAGAAAGGGATATGGAGAGTGTGGGCAAGTTTAATCCTTCTGGTACTCTCAGCTACCAAATGCTTCTGGGCAATCTTAAGGAACTGAGAATAGGAGACACCACTTTGAAGTGATTCCATGCCTGCTTTTTGGGATAGTTCCAGAGGATGTTATGGGCTGATCAATGCCTTATCATCTGGAAATTATCTTAGGGATCCCGCAAAGCTCCAGCTTGTCCCTCATTTAATATCTATGTTCAGCAGCTGCCAGAGATTGTTCATCATACTGAAATGCAATACTATTAGTATGCTGGTGACACCCAACTCTAATTTTCTTTTTTATCAAATAAAGGAACAGCAATGGAATCCTTGAACCAGTGTTTTGCTGCTGTTATATGCTAGGGAAGTACTAATAATGAACTGAATCCAGACAAGAGTAAAGTTTTGATGGATGTTGCTTGCACTTGTGCACTTCAAGAACTTTTCTTTTTCTAGATGGAGCCATGCATCTCCCAGGCAAGCAACTCAGGTGTGCTTTAAGACTCAATTTTGCTCCTAGATGCCCAGCAGGCTATACTTTGATCAACTACATTTCAGACACCAATTGAAGGTTTTCCTCAACAACAAAGATATGGCAATTGCATATCTTGGTAGCTGTTTGAATAGATTACTGTGCTTCCTGTGGAACTGCTCTTGCAGTGCAGGATGCAGCTTCATGTCTACTGATGGTAGTGGGAATAAGAAGAATATATTATTGCTTGTATGTGCTATTACTTTTCAGGCCCAATGCAAGGTGCTGTTGTTATCTCTAAGGTCCTTCATGGTCTAGGCCACTATGCTTGTGCAAATGGATTTGCCTTATCTTCTATGAACCTCCTCATGATTAAAACCTAGTGGTAGAAAGAGCCATTATATGTGTGAGAGAGTGTGTATAAAACAATTAAGGCTTCAGTCTTAGTCAGTTTTACAAGAAAGTCAGTCCTATGGAACTAAATGGGACTTACTTTTGCATAATTATGCTTGAGCAAAACCAAAATGTAATAGTGTTTTGCTTGTATACAGAAGATTGAAGAGTTTGCAATCCTAGAACTAGATCATACCATAGCTTTTGATGCCCCTTACTGATTTTCTGTTTTCAGATCAAGATAAATATATCACCTACAAACCATTTTAGTTGCTATTGCAGCTTGCAAAATCCAACTTATATTTGTCCAAACAATTGCCCATAATGGTGATTATCTGATATAAAAATGCTTCAGTTTAGGCTTGTTGGCACACATTTCCTATTTACATGTTTAAATGACTCTGCATTTTTATCTGGCCAGTTTATTTTCACTCTGCAACAGTTGTTCAATTCACCATTTGCATTGTGTATTTAAGTCATGATGACCAGTGATTATAAACAATAATACTGACTTGACTGAGCCACTGTTTACCTATTTTTATTGTACATCACTTTGGTTACAATCAGTTAAGATGAATAAGAAGTACTAACAAATCATAAATGCTGAAGAGGCCACAAAGTACTGAACGACATAACCAACATGGAAAACCATGGCCTACCCTTGAATACCTAGGAAAGCCTTCTCAAATGGCCCTCTTTGCTTGGTGGACTACCAGACAGACAGTTCATGGTTAAAGGGAGACATGCCTGAAGCCACAGTGTAGTGTTGCGATTGCTGAAATGGTAGGCCTTGTTGCTGTTTCCAGTTGCTTTTTAAAAAAAGTTCAGTAACTCCATGCACACTTTCAGACTTCTCCATGTTTAAAAATAAATTGTGGTGATGCACAGCTATGTATGTGTGCAGTGAAAAATATCCTCTAGTCTTCACAAAAATATCATTGATGTCCAGGTCACAAATCTTTTCCCACAGCCTGCCTGAGCTCAGCTTAGAGCTGAAGGCTTCTGTTCCTACAACCTCCAAGCTGCTTCTTTTCAGATAGGAAGATTTTAACCAAAGATTTGGTGAGCAATATGTGTAATAGAATTTTGCTGATAATGCATCTGTCAATACTCTTAGATCTCCTGGCAATCCTGTAAGGCTATTTAGAGCAATTTGTTTTGGAGAGGTAATTTCATTGATTTTTGGTGGTTGATTTTCCACTCCTGGAGAGGCAGCCAGAGCAGTTTTTTCTTCACCAGCTGTGAGGAAGGAAAGCAGATCTCTGACTCCTCCTCCTGAGGTTGGAGAGCTGTCTCCAACCTTGGAAGGACTTTTCCAAGTTATCGTATGGTCTCTCGGATGCTTGCCCAGGGACCTGAAGATTGCTATCTGAGCACTGGGAAATAAATATTAGAAAATGTAATGTAAAGTGGTCTCCTTCTATTTGGTACAGTTTTGATACTGATAGAGTTTTAACTTGTTCTAATATTTTAGATTTAACTTATAACAGTCATGTAGATATATTTATAGACATGTATAATGTGAGAAATATACACACTATACAATTTAGCCTTTACTATTTTTAGTACTAATTAGATGTATTGCATTTGATGTATTTGCCTTTTATTTCTCCCTGATTCCTTTCCTTCTTTTTCATTGTGCTACTTCATAATGTTAAAAAAGGCAGCTCTATACCTGACTTGGCCTACAGGTAGGCAGGTTCTGTCCATCCCTCCATTACATTTTCTAAATGAGGCTATTCATCCTTGGTATCTACTTTCAGATTTGTCACAGAATTTAGATTTAGATGAACTTTCCTTTTCCTGATTTTCTGCTCCATAACCTATAGGTTATAACCTATGGCATAACAGAATAGTCAACATATAGCAGTGGAAAACAGTGTTTTCTTTTGCTTTCTTTAAATAATACTGCATCACAAGAACACACTAAAAATTCTGTTTAGAGCCAGAAGTGAAACTGAAGAGTCACAATGTCATCTAAACTGTGAGTAGGGAATGATGAGAGTACATTATTATCCATTCATTTCATTTCTATACTGCTCCATGGCAGAAGCTTTCTGGGCAGTTTACAATACATGCCTCATGTAGAAAAGTCTCATGTGTCTGAGCAGTGTTGCAAAGCAGGTGTGTACAGACTACCAGTTTAATAATCTTCTGTGTCTGATTAATCCAGAACAACCTACAATTACTGCAAACGTGCAACATCTGGTAATCACATACTGGCTTATTCCATCTTTCCCGCATTCCATTCTTACTAGTTTGTTTCATTCTTACCAACATTATCAACTATATCCTCTAAATAAACCCAGTGTTGTCCTGCATGTCCCCTCTCTCATCCCATCACTTCCGTTTTCTCTTTTTGTGTTTGTATATACCATCCTTGATTGTGTCTTTCCCGTAAACTTCCATTTCTATATGCTTTCCCACCTGGTTGTTTTTGTCCCTAATAGGAGGGCAGCATTTGTAGTAGGTGCCTCCTGGAGGAATACATTCAGATGTCAGGTTGAGGTAGTGGTGGGTCGTTTCTACAGTGATTGGTGCTCCCTTCTGACGAGCATCATTGATGATGGGCAAGGCTTGAGCAGAGGAGAGATTAATGATGTGACATGGTATCCTATTAGGTAGAAACCACAGGATAATCAGACATTTATTGACCGATCTCTCTCAACTTAGCTTAAATCCATGGATTCTGTGCCTGAAGGAAATTAGTTCTATGGAGACTGTGGCACTTGCTCAAGAGGAGGCAGATCTAAACAAATGTTCAAGAGGAAGTGCCATAATATATTATAGGGTATACCTACAAATGGAATGAATTTGTTGAAGAAAAAAATACATGTTTCCTTTCTTTTCAGAATACCTTCCCATAATATTATTTTTAAAATCTTCTGATATTTTGACCATGGGATGTGTATAATTAGTAGATCCTTTTGCAACAGCTATATGCATAACAGGTTTCCTAATCTGGGATTCTGCACTGTTTCCAAGCTTTAATTCAGTGGTCCAAGAACCCAGGGTGCCAATCCAGGCTGCCTCCCACATGTCTACAGTTTTCTTTCTAAAATTCATGCAATTGCAAATTTCATTAATAGAATCTCATCGGGTTTGAATTTCCCTTCTAACCTGACCATGGCACTTTGTTAAACAAGGTAGTTGTCTCACTTGTACTGAAGGCAAAGCTCAGCAATGGTGATGGCAGCCTCTATCTCCATGGTGTCAGGATGCGAATCCAAGAAAGTGTCATACTCTGTGCTGTCTGGGTGGGCAAGAGGAAAAACAAGGGATAAAGATACCCTCTTTATCCTATCAAATTTAGTACTGCGGTCATAAGGCAAAGCTAGGGAACCTTTGGCATGCAGGACAAATACAGGCCACCAGGGTCTCCACACCCCTCCACACCCCTGCTGCACCCCCTCCTTATGTGCCCTAAGAACAGGCTAGTGAAACAGGGATTTGGACTTTGGCCACTGGGCTCAGTGCCTGCCATAGGTTTTGAGAACCCTTGGATGAGGCCTCCCCACTCCATGACTTGACTTTCATCCCCACCATTGGCACCAGCTGCTCCTGATCCTTGCTAGCTCGCCAGGAAGACAGGCAGTAACGAAGCAAGTGGTGGGTTCTGCAGCTTCTCCTTCCTCGTCTTGGTCAGAGTGAGAGGTCAGTGAGGAAGCCAGCTGCAGTGGTGAAGAGGCGGGGCAACTCTTGAGGCTTCTGTTAGTGAGTCCTTGCTGGGGTGCAGGCTCTTGGCAGGCACCCCACTGTGCACTCCGTCACTCATTCACTGGTCTATCCAGCCTCCATTCTGGCTGCAGCGGGATCCTTTCCAGCTTGTGTAGACACCCATGGGGCTGGCAAGGTGAGGAGAGAATGCCCTGCTTCCACTGCGTGAAGTAGCTGATTGTGCTGGAGCAAGAGAGCCCTCCATTCCTGCTTGACTGCCCTGATGGGCTTCCATGTGAACTCAGCTCAAGCCAGCTGAATCAGCACTTGCCACTGCCTGTATTCTCTGGCAGCAGCAAACAGGAGCTGGGGAGGGGAACTGCCCTGAGCAAGCAGGCAGCACTGTCCATGTGCCAGAAGAGCTCTTTGCGATCTTCCTCAGCAGTCCACTGAAAAGTAAAGGTGTCGAGATGAGGCCCAGGGTATGGTACAGGCAGTGGCACTGCTCCCTCACTTAGCACTGGTAAGTCAGCAACAGCAGGAAGGGTGGTGAAGCCTTTGGAAACAGGGTGCACATGTGCACTCACATGTACACATGTGCAAACGTGGAATTTCCTTGTTGGCTTTAATTCCAGGGTTCCAGGAACTGTGGATGCTTTTAGCAAGGTTATTAAAAATGTTTGAGTGCATTAAAATACACACTGTTTTCTGAGGACAGGTGCTTACACCCCAGGAAAATTGTTCCCATTTCTTGTGCAACTCAAATCTTCTTTCATTGTATGTCATAAAGAAGAGGACAGCTGGAATATTTCAAAGGTTTCACTGTCTAGGGATTCTCCTTTCTTTGCTGTCTCCTGTGTTATCCACCCTTTCTCATTCACCCCTTTGATGGTATCTCCTCTGTTATCCTTCTCTTTGTTGGTACAAAATAAGCTCTAAGCTCTACAAACAATTAAGTGTACTAGAATACAAAGGAATGACCAGGAGGGTGGGATGGGGTGGTGGAGGAATTGCATCCAGGTCTCCTAGCAGGCACATTTGGTGGGGTAAAAGGAAAAGTACTGCCAAGAATGGTCATCATACATACCCTCCAGGACAGGCATTGGTTCATTTAGCTCCTGTTCTGCATGAAACTGAGGAGAGAGCCCCAAATAGAAATAATGTTTAGCATCAATTTTTAAAAGAGCTGCTACAAGGAGAGAACAATTCAACAATAATTCCCTTCCTTTAAAAAAATCTAAAGTTCATCTAAAGGATCACCACAAGATGTGATTTAAAGTGGAAAAATACTTTCTTGCACTGAGGGGAAAAATAATCCAAACTGCTGAGTTGATGATGATGATTTTGATGTTGTTAAATCGCATATATATCCCACCCTTTTTCCTTTTTGTGAGGAACCCAGGGCAACTTACATAGCTTTTTTTTCCTCACAACAATCCTGTGAGGCAGGTTTTGCTGAGAGTAAGTAACTGGGCTAAAGTCACCCCGTGAGCTTCCTGGTCAAGCAGAGACTAGAACTTGGATCTCCCAGGTCCCCAGTCCAAAACTCTCACCACCACACCACCCTGATCATTACAGCACCTCCCTTCTCTGGAATGTGCTCCTAGGAACAGGTTTACTCCACTATGATGCTGTATTCTGGAAGGCAGGCATGCACCAAAATGAAGGCAATAGCAGTACCACAAGTTATCACTAAATGTTGGGGCTGCTTCTTTCTCCTTTGCACATAATAGGTGACACCTCTATAGCAGAAAAAAATACAATATTAATAAACCAAGCAGCTAACTATTTACTACCGTTGCATGGCACTTCTAGATGAGGCCCTTATGGTGATGTCATCCTTCCTCATGGATGCTAAGCCAGAGATCCCAGTAACTTCACCTTCCAGCTATAGCCCTCCCATGTTTTCCCATTGCTTCTTTCATCTTTTCTCTTATGGCAGAAAATCAGTTAAGAAAAAAGACTGGACGGCTACAACATACCTCCAAGTATTAGTGCTAAGCCTTTTCTGTCTGGAGCAAGCCTTATCCTGGGGTTGCCCTTGATTATCCATGGAATTTTATGGGAGTTTCTGTTGTAACCCTCCTGGCTTTTTCCATTACTTTCCCCATCTTTTTTTTCTTTCCAGAAATAAACTAACAAATCCATTAAGAAAGAAAAGCTGGAGCAGCTGTCTGATTCTAAGTGCCCTTAGAATCAGCAGCCTGTGATGGGCACCTCATTTTGCCAAATGGTAGGACCAGCCCTGCAAAGAGAATTTCAAGAGAAACAACCACCACAGGTATTAAAGTGAAGGGTGTTGAGTGGAAGCCTAGAACCCCAGATCCTTACCAGGAGTACACAGTCTGTGTCTTGCAATTCATTCATTGCCATGTGTAAATCATGCAGACGCACATGGGCAAAACCTTCCACACCGGTGGTCATCAGGAAGCACTGAAATCCAGGAACACCAGCCTTCAGCATGGGCAAGAGCTCAGCCTACACAGACAGTACAAGGATAGTGATCAGAATTCCAGGGAGTGTGAGGCAAAGTTAACAAAACAGAAAGCATGTTAATGAGATGAGGGGAATGGCTAAAGTGCACGTTAAGTCCTGATCTCTTGCAATTCCTGCTAGATTTAGAGCAAAAGCAAGTGGGAGCATGGGCAAGTCCCCAGTCAGTCCTATATCTCTGAAGTAATCAGCTAAATCTTTCACCAGAGTGGCTCATATTAGAATGGAAGCACTTTATTTTGCAAGAGGGAACTGGACACCATAAATCAAATATTTGCGTGGAATTAACAGGAGCAGCCCAACTTCAGTGCTGCAGGGCGTAATTCCTGTTTTAAATGAGGGGTGCCAACATTTGTTCTGAACTTGGATATTTGTGTAAGATGCAGCAGGAGTGGAAAACTTCTAGCCTGTTGATTGGGTGCAGTTCACAGAAGTTTTGGTTCCAAACTCTAGCCTCCCCTCCAACCAATATAATGGGGCAGAATCTACCATCTGTTCACACTGAATGGATCATTCTACTTCTGGAATGCTCTGTGTTTCAGGCAAGTGAGCTGATGCAGTTGCATTGCTGTATACTAACCTGATTATCAGGTATTATGCCACCCCAAAAGGCAACATCTATATGACACTGCCCCTTAGCAGACTGGAGCTTTGTATCAAGGGCAGACAAGGTTGTTGTTGGAGGACAGGAGTACCTGCGTGACAGAGACATGAGAGGGGAAAATATTACCTGAAGAACATCCAAACTGTGCCCTGTCTCATAGCTAACCCAGTCTGTCTGCCAGCCTCGGAGCACATACACCTTGCTATACCCTGTATAGTAATAGCAAACTCATTCTCTGGGTCTGGATTCTTATATAGCCAAAATGCAGTACCCACGCACAAGAAGGGAGGTATCAGCAAGGTTTGCATAAAGATGGTGCACATAATTCTCCCTCCTCCTCACATTTTATCCTCATAACAAAAATGTACCTGCGAGGTAGTTTTGGCTGAAAGAGCAAGTGATGTGCTCCAAGGTCATCCACTAAAGCTTCATGGCAGAGCAGGAATTTCTAGACTAGCCTGAATATTTTTCTCTTTGTTAGCTCCCTTGAACAATCCGTAAAGATGTAGCATACATTTGATAAATGAAGGAATAATAACTATTACACCATATAGGCACTCAGTGTTAATGTTTAGTATATGCATGTGTGGTTTTAGGTGATATGCTATAGTTATATATAGATGTCATTCCAAGAAAAAGCCATGCATTTTTGGTGTGAAAATTGAATGTTCAACTGCATCCTTGGTTACCTGCTACAGCACCTGAATATGACCAGTAGCTGGCACTGTAGGACCATAGATGGCAGTTTGGGAATTATTTATGCACAGGGAGAGGGAGAGGGAGAGAGACGACGCCTAGTTTTTGTTTGTTTGTTTGTTGTTTAAGTAATGGATTCCAGAAATCTATAAGATAGGCCAGAAGAATACATAGTTAGGCAAAGTGAGTTCATGCAGCGATACAGAAAGCAACAAAAACAGTGGCTTCCATCCAGTGCACAATAAGACCAAGGATGCTCATTCAAAGAGAATCCCAGCCCTCTCTTCCCTGCTAAAGCCGTCCTTGGAAAGCCTCCTCGGAAATCACATGTGGGACAGGCGCCTCAGTGGGACCTAGGGAATTGGGGATAAGTGGGCAGAGGCAAATATGTACCCTGCCTATATTCATTTACGTTGTGGGTTTTAGGCGACAACAGTCAACTGAATCTCTTTGTGCATCTTGCACTAAAATAGGAAAACCCTTATTCCATCCCTCCACTCCTCTGGTTCCATACAAAGGCATATCGAGAATAGTGGTGATGCCTCCTGCAGCTGCAGCCTTTGTTGCTGATGCGAATCCTTCATGAGTTGGATGTCCAGGCTCACAGACATGCACATGAGGGTCTATTATCCCTGGCATGACCACAAGGTCTCCAGCATCCAGTATCTGTAAATAGAAGAGGTCATGAAACTTACAGGTCATTGCAGAACATTCTAAGGAGATTGCCTTCAAGCCTGCTTGACTGTCCTGTGTAAGCGCTTCTTTTATGAAAAGCTGGAGTTTAATTCCACACACCATTTAATAACTGAGCCTTTGAGGGTACAATAGAAAGCTTTAAAGAAGAATAGCACACCATTTAAAAGGATAAGAAACCAGATTTGCAGCCATAATTCAGTACAGAAAGAAAAAGGCTCTTAAACGAATTAATTCCACACTGGAATGGGACCCACAAGAGGTAATCTTTCTAAAAAATATAATTAATTGGATCATTTGGAATTAGTAAAACCACTACAGCAGGACTTTGGGCAGATGTTTAGGGTCTCCCACAACAGAATGAGCAGGAGTGCCCCTAAAAGTGGCATGGCAGATATTACCCTCTCAAGAGACTCCCCAGCCCAGCTGCGAGATCACTTGAAGTAAGTGAAGTAATACTCATTACCATCTAACGAGCTCCCCCATAAGATGGTAAGATTGGGTGCAGGAAAAGAGTAGGCATCAACACCATTAAGTTCAGACTGATACTTCTTGTTCACTCTGCTTAACAAGCATGTTGACAATAATTTGAAGGCTAAAAAGAAGGACTCATCAACGTTGATTAAAGCACAGTTTGAATCATTTCCACAGCTTATCCTTTGTAACAGACAGTACATAATCTGTCAGTTAGTAAACTGCCTTGTGTATGCTAGAAAAGTAGAACCTCTCTTTCCCAGATATCCTAAGATTGCATCACTACCATGCTGTGATGTATTCATCAAGTGGGATCTGGCAGCCACATCTCCAAGTTCACATACAATGCATACAAATTAAGTTGCAAATTATAACATGCCAATTTGTGGTGCAACTTTTCTCTTTTCTGCTGAAGTTCCTTTCATTGTGACTGAGGATGCTGCATTATTCTTAGACTCTCAGTCTCTTTGCTGTGTTGGAGTTTTCAGTAAGAAAACAGATTCTGATTTATGTTAACTGTAAGCAACTTTCTGCAGTGATCCAGTTTCCAGTAGGCAAAGAGGGAATGCCAGGCAATGGAAAGTAATGGATTCCTAATGTTTTTAGTAAATAACCTTTTTGTATGTGTGGATGAATTCAAGACATGGCAACTGTCTCCTGCCTACCTCCTAGAAATTCATTGCCTTTCAGTGACTCGGCTGCGTCTTATATCATTCCTAATTAATTTGTGTATTGCTTGTATTCAACTGTCATTGTGCATTCCCCAAGGACACTCTCATTTCCCGGGATTCATTAGTGTGCAAAACAGACCTCAGAGTCAGTTTCATGAGTTTACATCTTAAATAAAAAGGAAGGAGGTGGAAACAATAAAGAGCATATTTGTGCTATGCATTTGTTTCTTTTGCCACTTTAACTATAATTGCTTCTCCCAAAGGATATTGGAAACTGGAATTTGTTGAGATGCTGTGACTTTCGGATGAGACATTCTTAGCCCATCCTAAGTTGTGAACGTGCTATTTTAGAGTGTAACCTCATAGGGAGCCAATTGTAAACATCCATGGAGATGAGCAGATTCCTTGACCCATGTCGATCTGCTTCACCTGTAATGACAATCCTTCAGATCTAAATAAAGGGGTTCTTGGGGACATGTGGGCACACTGCCTACTTTAGAATACAAATCATTATAGTGTCCTTTAGTAGGTTTTGCAATGTGGCACGCAAACCCAAGTTGCTCAACTGTTTAGTACTTGAGGCTGTAAAAGAGCCTCAAGAGACATGGGGACAGATACTGAGTTAGAGGAAGGAGAAGTAGGAGAGCCCACTAACTTCTGATACCGTGGAAAGCGACAGTGAGCCTGTGTAAGTAATCTGAGAGTGGGCTGCCAGTTAAAGATGGCAAATCAACTGAGAAGATGTTCTGAGTGGTCGGCCCTAAAGCAAGGGGACCTACCTTAAAGGCAGGGTGTTAGCAATCTGTACTTGGGTGGGAGTAGAAGTCCTCCATTTGGAATCAAGCTGTTAACCATTGAGATCACACTAGTATTCCAACTAAACATGTTTCTTTTGCTACTGGTTTGGCAATGTGGTTAAGTTGTGCTTTAAAGCCAGCCTTCCTGGTTTCCATTACCATAATAAAGCTTTTAGTTAAACGTCTTTGTGTCTACTGCTGGTGGTGGTGAGGAAACAGCCCACTGGGAGATCAGCAGAACATCTAAGAGATGTCATTATACAAACACCAGTTCTTTGCACCTCAGGCCATCTATAACATAAGCATGATGGTCCAGCTTGTAGAGCCTTAAGAATTACTAAAATAATGTATGCAAATGTTTGTTTTAGTATAATTAGTGTACTAATTAGCATATAATACCTGAATAAAATGATGGAAGCTTCTCAATTAATCAGACTGAAATTGGGGTATAGATGCAGCCTAAGTATTAGGCATCACCTGTGATACCCAAAAATTATCCACAGAGCATTAAGAATCCACTGCAAACTTACAGTGGTTGGAAAGCCAAACTGTACTATGCCAGCATGACCCAACTTTACAGAGCCACCAGGATACTGGGGCAACAGGATGGCTCTGAGAAATATGAAATGTACAGGATACAAAGCAATATGTCATGTCTAAAATACTGGCTGCTATTCATAATACTGCAATTCATTGGCAGTGCGGCACACTGTGTTGCTTCAGCTACTGGCTGGACTATCTTCTGAAGCAGCAGTGCCAGAGGTAGGTTTCTTGGAAAATGCCTAAGAAGAATTTCCTACAAAAGACATTTCTGGAAAATGTGTTGCTGAGGGGTGCTTCCAGAAGAGACTTGTTGTACAATCGCCTTGCCTTATTTACACCCGTTTTTGGAGCGTGTGGGATGTGGGTGGGTCACCAATACAGTTTTCTATTTGTAACCTTCCTGTGTTTCCCCACAGCTTCTTCCATTTTTTTTCCTTACTGCATAAATAATTGTTGAGGAGGGAAAGACGTGCCTTTGATTGCTAGTGCTAGGAAATACCTATTTGGAAGTAAAAGACTTGGCATGAAAACTCCTCACCACTAAATTTAGGCGGGCTATTACAACCTTTTAGTTTTGCCAGGCCTTTAACCTGTCTTATAGTCTTACTGCGCAAATTGACTTATTTATTTATTTGATGGTCTTTTAATGTTCTCCATTTTTCATTTCTATTTTGTATGATTTTTATGTACTTAGTAACCTTGAAAGCACTTCTGGAATAAGTATAAACATAACAATAGAAATATAGATACAGACTTTGTGATATCTAACCCAGTAGGGGAGATAGTGCAGCAAGAGTGAAATATGATGAGGACCGCCCCAGGGTTCTCTTGTATACATACAGCATATGGCCTTCATTATTCAGCTGTTGACCACAACTCTGGTTTGAAGCCAGAATATATTTTCCTCTAGGAAAAGCATTTCCGGTTCATAATGGAGTACTGCCTACAGTGTCCTCTTTTATGTATTTATCTTTCTTCATTTATTGTACATTTTATACCATTTTTCTGCCAGGACACTCAGGTAGTTTATAATTTTTAAATATAGAAAGGAACATATGATACCTCCAAAATAATAAACTTAAAAAAACTAGAATATGGTTCTCTCGGGCTGGTTGAAGGGTTAGGGAGCTGATGGCCAAGCTCCCAGCCTGGGTGTCCCCTCTTCCGCCTTCCCTCAGGTCACACAGGTTCCCCCTATCCCATTGCTGTCCAAGAAGATGGTGGAGGGGTTGTCCCAACACTCTAATGTATGTTAGCCCATCCCAGCATTTCAATAACACTGGGGAGTTATATTTTCTTGTTCTAATATGAACTGATGAACTGAATTATAGGAGGTTCAGAGCAGAGAAAAAAAGACCTGTTTCCCGTATGACACCTACATAAGCTGAATGGCATGAGGCATGGTGACAGCCACCAATCAGATGACTTTGAAGGGGTTACATAAATTAATAGAGGGTAAGATTGTCAATGGCAAGCTATCATGGTGGCTATCACTGCCTCTGGGATCACAGGCAGTGGCCCTTTGAATACCAGTTCCTGGGAACAGCCATGAAAGAGGGCTATTCTGCTTTTTGGCTATCCTGGGCATCTGACTGGCCACCCTGGGAAACAGTACATGGGACTAGATAGGCCTGATCAAGCAGGGTGTATTTATTTGTTTGACTTATACCTTATCTTAAGCTGGGCTTTTCATACATGCTTACTGCTTCACACTGATGACTCAGATGCAGAGACTGTTCTTGTAAGAAAGCGCAATGGTAGTTTCCTCCAAAATTTAACCTATGAACTATGCAGTGAGAAAAACTCATGGGCTCTTCATGAACAATTCACAAACAGAAAGAAAGAGTCAATTATTAGCCAAGAAATATAGGCAACATAGTCAGCAGTAGGCACTGATAAAGGGTCACTGGCCAGGCAACTAAAAGTTCAGTGTGCAGGGTGAAAGGGATGAAAACCAGAATACTTTTCCATGTCCTGTGGAAATTCAGTTCATGACTCCTCACTTATGCTATGGCCATAGGGCCTCATTCTCCACTCAGTTACACTGAAGTCAATAGAGTCATGGCAGCATAAAACCTGTGTAACCGAGTGGAGAATTAGCCCCCAGGGATGCAATGTTTGGTGTCGGAATAGTTCTGTCCTGCAAGCTGCCCTATGTAAGCTTTCCAAATCCCAGCCACTGGGATTATCTTTTCCTTTCTTTTCCATAACCCTGAGAGCCGGTTCTCTGAAGGAGTGCCTTCTACTACGTCATCATGCCCCAATCCTTCATTCTCACTGGGTTCCCTTACAACTGAACATAATCAGATGAGAATTGAGCAGGAATCTTTGTTAGTCATAGCACCCCATATGTGGAATGCTTCTTCCAAAGAAGCTTGCTTTGCACCCACCTTGATCTCTCTTCAGTGCCACTGAAAGACTTTTATTTGCCCTGGCATTAAGGCTGGGCTTTTTAATGGCTTGCTGGGTTTGAAAGATTTACTGGATTTGCTGGTACTTGGCTGATGCTTCTATTATTTGCATTGATTTTATATTGATTGCTTTTCTTGTAAATAGCCCTGGCAACTTGCACTGAAAGGCAGCCTATATATTAAATAAATACATGCAGTTTTTTCTTGTTTTATTTATTTTCCACTTTTCTTCCTAGGAGCATACGATAGATCCATGGCTCCTTCCAAGTTAATTTTACAACAGCCCTGCAAAGTGCATTAGGCTGAGAGGTGTTGATGGGCAAAAGGCCCCTGAGTAACATTCATGTTAGAGCAGGAATTTTAACCTTCACTTTCTCCAACCTATTTCACACTCTTACCTTTATACTACAGTGGCTCCCACGTCCTATTTATCTATTCTTGTGCCAGTCATTAATGTATTGTTTAAAATAGCCTTCC